GATCGTTAAGTTTGTTTTTTAACAAGCAGCTTCTAAAGGTGTCTGTCCTCATCAGTCCCTGTGCAGTCTCTGGTGATCTGAGCTTCAGCTCTAACTGAGAGGCTCATGGAGCTCTGCGGCGCTCCAGTTTGCCATCTCAGCTGATTTTGTTCAAATAGCAAACCTTATTGCCTGTGTTTACTTTCAATTTCAATAAATTTGTCAGCCGGAGCTCAGCAATAACTCCCCACGTCATCAAGACATCTGCCTCTGTTGCGCCAGGGCGCATACGACAGACCATTACCACAATATTACTATCAAGCGAGGCGGAACGAATGCCTCAAAATTCGCGCAACGCCATGCCGGCATGGTGCGTTAATAAGACATACCATTGCGGTAATATTACGCCAATTTGCCGGCATGGTGTGTCTTGTAAAAAGGACTAGAGTGTGTGTTGGTGAGGGGTGGGGTGGGGGGGGTGGGATGAGGCTTATGGTTAACCGGCTATTAACCATTAAGGGTGTCAATAACTAGGGATGTCCCATTCTTATATCGATATCAGAAGTAATTTGATATCGGCCCAAAAACATTGCATAGGATTATATCGGACGGCATCAAAAATCTCAGATATAAGCAGTCCGTTAAGGTTCACATTTTTGCAACCAGTGGTTAAGAAAAAAATGTCATTCATTTTCATACTTACTGTTATTGGCTCTTGTTCTCCGATTGAGTAATATCACTTGATCAAGCCTTTCATACATTCCACACTACAAAATAGGTAAATATATGTATGATTTGGTCGATATCAAACCAGATTGATAGCGGTATCGGTCAATATTGAAGCCTGCAATATCGGTATCGTATCAAAAGTGAAAAAGTAGTATCGGGACACCCCTATCAATAACCAGTTAAAGACATTTTGGAAAACATGCATCTCTAGTTGTGTTTGAAGGATGTTGGTTTTAATTAGCACATTTGAGGTTTTTTCTTTTTTATTATTTTCAGAAATCCAAATGATCAAACGTGAGACTAACCGGATCATTTTTTGAGAATCCCATCTCTGGGACCTTTTTGATATGTTGAATCTTTCTCTTTTGTCAGCTGAAGGACTTGGAATCAGTGTAATATCTACCCATCCATTTTAGGCTGCTATCCGGGGTCAGGTTTGCAGGGTCAGTAGCCTAAGCTGGGAGGCCCAGACACCCTTCTCCCCAGCCACTTGGGCCAGCTTCTCTGGGGGAATCCTAAGGCGTTCCCTGACCAGCCGAGAGACGTAGTCTCTCCAGAGTGTCCTGGGTCTTTCTTTAGGCCTTCTCCCAAGCCCCCATAATTCGGGTCTGAAAATGAAGCCAATACAGAAGTGACAAAAATTGCAGTCCCACCCTCATCCTCTGGGAGATGGTGTCAGAAGCGAGCAAATCCTCATTGACTCCCATGTTAAAAATACCAATTTCACAGCAGAAATAAACATGTTTACAGAAGTCTTGTTTCATGGTCTCGCTAAACTCCTCCCATGCCCCGGGCCGCATTCCGCTTGGGCTCCCAGTACCCATCAGCTGCTTCTGGAGACCCACAGGCCAAAAATACCCGATAGAACTCTTTCTTCAGCTTGACGGCATCCCTAATCGTCTGTGTCCACCAGCGGGTTTGGGGATTGCCACAATGACAGGCACTGACGACCCTGTGGCCGCAGCTCTGGTCCGCCGTCTCAACAGTGGAAGCACAGAACATGGCCTACTCGGACTCGGTGTCCCCTGCCTCCCCCAGAACATTTTAGAAGTTCTGTCAGAGATGGGAATTAAAACTTTTTCTGACTGGAGACTCCGCCAGATGTTACCAGCAGACCCTCACAATAGGTTATGGCCTGCCAGGTCTGACCACCATCCTCTCCCACCATCAAAGCCAACTCATGACCAGGTTGTGGCCAGTTGACAGCTCTGCACCTCTCTTCACTTGAGTGTCCAATTCATGTAGCCGCAGATCAGATGAGACGTCAACAAAGTCAATTGTCAAGCTGCGGCCTAAGGTATCCTGGTGCCAAGAGCACATATGGACAGTGACAGCTTTATGTCTGAACATGGTGTTCATTATGGACAATCCATGACAAGCACAGAAGTCTAATAACAAAACACAGCTCAAATTCAGATCAGGTTCCTCCCCACTACACCTCTCCAGGTCTCACTGTCGTTGCCCACATGAGCTTTAAAGACCTCTAGCAGAATGAGGGAGTCACCAGAAGGGGCGCTCTCCAGCACCTCCTCCAAGGACTCTGAAATGGGTGGGTAGTCTGAACTGTAGTTTGGTTCATAAGCTCAGACATCAGTCAGGACCCCCCCCCCCCCCCTGTAGTATTTACATTAATAGTGTTTTGAACTTATTGCAGATATATACATGAGGGTAAAAAGCCCACAACTTTCACTCATTTGACTAATTTACTTTATCCTGCTACATCAGATCACTTCAGTTTTCTTTATTATTTTAATTTGATTGCATCATGCTGCTGACTTGTGGGTGGTTTACTGGTGCACAGGGAGACGAATGGCTCACAGAAGAAATGCACTTGAGCTGTACAAACACAAAAGGCTCCAGTGTGCCGGATCACACTGGAGAAATGCCAGTGCTGATTAAAAGTGGCTAGTAATGCCTGTGAGCTTGACTGGGACTGTAAAAAGCTTTCATCCTCGAATATGTTTCACCTCTCCGTATTTGTAACTGGGATCGATGTTTGCATGAGTGTGTGTTTATCCCATCTGTAACCCTCTACACTCAGCTGTGCGTGTGAAGGGAGATGTCAGAAGGTCAGACCTCTTTCTGGCTTGGCTTGAGGTCAAAGGTCTACAGCAGCAATTAAAATGTGAAGTCAGAAGGTTCCTGCCAGCTTGAGCTCAGGCAACAACACATGTACTGGGTCTGCTGAACACTATAGGTTTTACATTTTCATGTCTGTGTAGATTAATGACAGTAATAGTTTGTTTTTAATGGAATTGTGACACAATTGACCCACCCTCTAACGTTCATCAGGTCAGGCATGCACCTGGACACCAACCCAGTTTTGATTTGACACACTGACACATATCTGTCAAAGAGCTGCCTCAGCATTCCCTCCTCTTAACCTGCACCAGCTGTGCACACTTACCCAGGTACACTGGTTTCATGGACCCCGTGTGGTTGTTTGGCTAATGAACTGGCTCTCTAGGCCAGTTGGCCATCTCTGTTAGCATGGTGTTTTCCAATCAGCACATTCCTCTTTCTGTAGACAGACCCAGGGAGACGGTTTTGGCAGCGCACACACAGGGTGGAGTAATGCTCATATCCTGTCCCCTGACCTCAGATTACACACACGCACAGTTACTGTACTGTTATGCTCGTGCTCTCACTCAAATCACCACATTCTTACTCTTAAAACATGCAGCTTTTCGTCTGTTTTGAATCAGCTGTTGCAGTCAGTCTTTCAGCCCAGAGTCATTCTGTTCCTTTGTGCTTGCTGTCGGCTCCAGAGCCAGTGTGGTTGTGCCAATTGGTGCCTGTTGTTGTGCCCAACAAAGACACTCTTCTGTCTGTGTTAATGCCCCCCCCCCCCCCCCCCCACACACACACATACACACACACACACACACCCTGACAGTGCTGCGTGAGCTGCAGAACTGCACTTGGCTTAACCTAGTGTCTGACAGCAGCAATGCTCCGATCCACTGCAATCAACTTGCTGCTGATTGCTTTGCGTTTCATTCCTGTCCGTTAGTGTTTTCATCAACATCAACAAACAGATGAACTAAAAACAGAAAGAGCAACACAGTTTAGCTTTAGTTTTTTTTTGTATATTCTCATTACTGTGTGTACCCAGGTGTAAACTCAGAGCTGAGCTCTGGCCTCCTCGTTTTGACTTTTTTTTTTTACACCCAGACAATGACAAAGCACTGAATTGCACATTCCCTCTCACACAAAAACGGTCTGACGTCACGTTGTTCCTCCCTCTTCCTCTATTCCTCACCATTCCAGAGTTGTGAAACCTCAAAGAGGTTTTTGCCTGGAAAGCGTGTCTTACTTGAAATCTGCTTCCTCCATTCAAGGTTAGCTTCCTTTGTTGATGAGTTGTTTATTCATGCAGGTCTTGGACTCCAGTGGATGGTCACAAATGTGTGAAAAGGCTTTTGAGAGGGATATCTGGCCATTGCAGTTTTCTCTTTCTGCTGCCTGTTTCTCTCATCATGTGCTCATCAACCACTTTCGCACACTTTTTGAACCTTCAGGCACCCAGTAAGTCTGATGAGGCTCTACTTGTCACGGGTAGGTGTCTGTTGATTGAGACTGAGCAGCCTTTTGGCTCACGATTCTTGACCGACGCAGCGTTCTTTACTATTACTGGACACAAAAGGAGGAATACCTGTGCATTAGGACTGTGTGTGTGTGTGTGTGTGTGTGTGTGTGTGTGTGCGCGCCCGCCTTGATTGTACAAGCACAATGCATGTTTTGGGGTCTCAGAGAGCTAGACTTTGTCTTGTCCCTGCGCCTTTCTGCTATTGGTGAGAATCCTGCCAGTCCAAGGCCAAACGGTGAAGGGGGGGTGGGGGGTGGGGGGGAGGGGGGGAGGAAATAGGCGTCAGATCACAATGTGAAACTTGTTTATGTCGCTTTTTATTTTTTGCTTTGTACTATTCCAGCTGTTTCCAAAGCCGTCTGTTTTATCATCATTCCCAGCTTTGCTGCTAGAATCATATTAGGGTTTCATAGCCAGAAGGAAGAGATGATTTTATAATCATGTTTGTTCACTCAAGCTAATGTGGAGCCTCACAAATGCCTTATCTCATTAATTAGACTCAGTTGGCAACACGTGGAGTTAAGAAGATTTGCTTAAAAAATGATTATTATTAATATGACTCAACTACTGCGTGTGTATTGACTAAAGCAGAAGCTACGTGTCTGTGTGTCAGTCAGAAAAGTACCCTGTGTGCACAGTTGTCTGGTGTTTGCGTGGTAATAATGACTAACATGATGGTGTGATGTTGCTGTCCTCCTCCTAGGTGACATCACCCAGAAGGGCTACGAGAAGAAGAGAGCCAAGCTGCTGGCCTCCTACATCCCTCATTTGCCAAGTAAGACTAGCTCTCCTTTCAGCTTCTGAAGCACCCTTCCTTCTATGTGTTGTTTGTTTTTAATTCTTCTTAACTATTGAGTTGATCAAGTCATCAAACAGAAGACACTTTCTGTCTGATTAGTTTTTATGCCTCTAAATTGTATTAAATTAGAAGTATGCATCTTATTTTGCAGGTTTAATAAAGCGAACTCATATTGTGAAAGCCTCTTGTCACCGAGTTAAAGGACAGTTTCTGGTTTTCTGTGGCGCTCTAGTGGTCAAGATTGGAATTGCATTTGTGTAAAAAATGAATACCTTCTCCAGTAACCTTACTGTCGTCATTTTAGGTAAATCTTAGTATTTTTTAGTCGGTCAGTTTAGAGTTTCTCCATATTACTTTGAGTCATTCACCCCAGTACATTTTAGGAGCTGCAGATTTTTTTCCTCTGTGCACAAGTGTGTCATTTCCTCAGAAAGAATGACTCCACACCGAATTTAAGGTGAAAATAATGATTCTATATGTGTCAATGTTAGCTAAGTGACGTCCAAATATCAGCAATAAGCTCTGTTTTCTTTTAGTTTGGCCTTGATCTGAATCTGCCTGTGCTGTAGCATTATTCTCCTAGATTGTTCTTACCCGAAGGCAACGAAAAACCTCTGGTTCTGGATCTAATGTCGAATCCTTTACTTTTTGAAGCTTACATGGTTTTTGGGTTTTACTATGTGTTGTTTCATAACTCTGTTGGCTTGAGCATCAAAGCAGACAACAAGATGCTTTCTTAGTTCAAATGAGAGGTTTCTGCTCGTCGTTATCCCTCAGTGAGATCTGCATGGAGGGGGAGCTTTTACCATCTGGAAGAAAAGGACAATTGACAAAAAATATATTGTCTTACTTTTGTTTTATATCATGTGAGTCAAATTCAGGTCAGCAAAGATATAACGCTAGTTAGCTCCATATTTCATAAAGCGTAGCTATAAGTTTTAATATGTAACCATATTTACTTTGCACATGTCTGCCTTTCTACTGAAGATGCGAGCCTTGCTCTGCCAGATGTACAGCTTTCCCCAAGCCACAGTGCCGACCCCAGTCCAAGTCCCGAGGCCCCAGCCCCTTCCACCTCTTCGGCCTCCAGACACCATCGTGCACACCGCAGTGGAGGGGCCAGGGATGAGCGCTACAGATCAGGTACACAACCAAACACAACTAACCTGAAAAAGCCTTTGAGTAAACAACTTTATTGTTTCCTTCTGGATTGTCTAATTCGGTTCCTGCATTTTCTTTAGACATCCACACAGAAGCCGTACAAGCAGCATTAGCTAAACATAAAGAAGAGAAGATGGCGCTGCCCATGCCCACCAAGAGACGCTCAGCCTTTGTTCAGTCCCCTGCCGACACCTGCACTCCCCCAGGTGAAATCCTCGGGCCAGTTTAAAACCAAATACTTTTGAATGAAGTGTGTCAACAGTAGAGGACTAAGTGTCGCCTTTATATGGTGGCTTTTCTTTGTTGATTTCAGACACGTCCTCTGCATCAGAGGATGAAGGCTCACTGCGTAGAAAAGCAGCTCTCAGTGCAGTGCTCGCTCAGACCCTGCAGAGCCCCGACTACTGGATCAATCGTTCTGTCCAAAGCTCTTCCACATCCTCGTCTGCTTCCTCCACGCTCTCCCATGGAGAGCCTAAGAGTCAGCCCCAGCCTCAGCCCGGTGTCTCCGTGTTAGCCGACGTGCTAGCCCACACACGGATAGGTAAGCTATTGACGGAGAACTAGCTTTACTGCTGGCTGATGAAATTCCTGTGAGATTCTTTTTGTCCTTGATTATGTTTATTTTTTCATGTTCAACAGAAAACAGTGTCCCCCCAGATGTGACATCGTCCACTCCACAGGAGAGAGGATCCAGATTGGACCTCCCGCCAGCGGTCAGGGGCATGAGTCGAGGGCAGAGCCGTTCCAGCATGCTGGACACTGCTGACGGTACTCACACAAGTCGTGATAAATATCTCTAGATGCTAAAACTGGAGGTACCTGGGTCTCTGTCATGTGATTTATTTGCACTGTGAGGTTGAATCATACGTGGTTTAATGATGGTAGCTGAATGACCTGTTCTCTAAAATCAGTAAAAATGGGTGAGCTAAAACTCACCAGCAACATCATCGTCATGTGAGAGTGTGGTGAAGGCTGCTAATGACGTATTTTGTTTTCTTTCTTTTGGGTCCGTTAATCCTGTCCCCTGTCTTGCCTTTGATTTAAAAAAGGAAAAAGAAAAGGTAATAAAAGTCGACCCTTGGGAAGGGTGAGGGATGCTGAAGAAGCCCAAAACCATCTTGCTTTCCAGCCTATCTTTTTATGTTTGTCTCGTGTCCTAGGTTTAGAAGTAGACAACTTCCTGTAATTGATTATTGTTTCCTAAATATTGTCCAGTTTGTGTATCCTTTCGTACAAATTTCCCTTTCAAATCTTTCCTGCTGCTGACTCTGATTCTGACCATGATCCTGACTGTGCTAGTGCGTAGCATTCTGCCTGCGCGAGAGTGTCTGATAAAAGTAGATAAGTGTTCAGACTGTACTGCATGTGTGTCCGTTTTGTTGGTTTGCACACGTTTGTAAACCGTTTTGACGTTTGTCCAGGTGTTCCTGTCAGCAGCCGCGTGTCCACTAAGATCCAGCAGCTGTTGAACACACTTAAACGGCCCAAAAGACCACCACTCAGCGAATTCTTCCTCGATGACTCTGAGGAGATTGTAGAGGGTGAATCACATTGTTTGCATCTGGTTGTACAGCTTTTTTTGCTGCCGTCTATTCATCTATTTTTTTTCCCTCTTCTTTAAACCTTTTTTCTGTCTAGTTCCCCAGCCGGATCCTAACACCCCAAAGCCCGAGGGGCGCCAGATCATCCCAGTGAAAGGGGAGCCTCTGGGGGTGGTCAGTAACTGGCCTCCAGCCTTGCAGGCTGCCCTCGCCCGCTGGGGGGCTTCCCAGGCCAAGAGCCCCGCCCTCACTGCGTTGGACATCACTGGCAAACCCCTCTACACACTCACTTATGGTGAGCACAGACATCAGTGTGTTTTATCCTGTTTGAAGCTACAGTGGTACAGGGAAGTGACTGATTATATGACAAATTACAAAATGTAACGATTATAAAAAGGATTTAAAAAATAAAATGTTTATCCCTCCTCAGGAAAGCTATGGAGTCGCAGTCTGAAGCTAGCCTATACGTTACTTAACAAACTGGGCACCAAGACTGAGCCCGTCCTGCAGCCTGGAGATCGAGTAAGAGTTTTATTAGATACTTCTAAGTTTTAAAAACAGAGTCAGATTTTTTATCTGCCTTTCAGGTGGCACTGGTGTATCCGAACAGTGACCCTGGAATGTTCTGGGTGGCCTTCTATGGCTGCCTGTTAGCTGAGGTCATTCCTGTTCCCATCGAGGTGCCGCTGTCTCGTCAGGTAAACTCCTCCGTGGTCTTTAAATATGCTCCTGTTAGATTAAACAGCCGTACTTTTGTTTGCGTCCAATCAAAGATCACATTAGGTCAGAGAAAATAAACCAAATTCATTTAAGCTTTTTTGAATTTTGTAGCTCTTTGTGAAAGTTTATGTTCCTTTTAACTGAGTTTCCTGTAGTGGAACAGTTTTGTAAACTATTATCTCTACTGATATCTGTTTCTTTAACATTTTCTCTTTCCATAGGATGCAGGCAGCCAGCAGATTGGCTTCCTGTTGGGCAGCTGTGGTGTGAGTCTGGCTCTAACCAGCGAGGTTTGCCTCAAAGGCTTACCCAAGACTCCAAATGGAGAAATTGTCCAGTTCAAAGGTCAGCAGAACTGAAGTGCCTTTTCCTGTCCTGCCAGTTCATCAGAAGTTTATGTTTTTAAGTTATCATAGATTTCACAATATATCCAACGTGATTGGTAGATGTGTGGTTCTTTATATTTGACGATAGGAAAAGGGTTGAAATAAGGGCTGTTAATAATTAAATCATCTTAACCAAACATACTTTCATTTCTGTGTGTCATTATGAATATTGTTGTTTATATTGTTGCAACTCTGCTCTCCAGGATGGCCGAGGATGAAATGGGTGGTGACGGACACCAAATACCTGACCAAACCATCCAAAGACTGGCAACCTCACATCCCCACTGCCAACACGGACACTGCCTACATAGAGGTACACTTAAACTTTGACCTTGATTATTCTATTATCTTTAATTTTCTTATCAAACAATGTCTAGTGACACTTACCCCGGGTTTCCACGGGAGCCGTCAGCAGCACGTTACTGCAGCAGCACGTCTTGCTCGCGTAAGCTGCTGCTTGGCCCTTCCCACGAGACGCGAAGCAGCAGGGGAGCAGCTGTCACCGACCGAGCACGAAGTCACACGGGTGACTTCGTCAGTAAACACAACAACAAGCAGGAGAAAACTACAACATGGTTTGTGTTTTATGTTCTGTCCGTTTTATAATCGCCAATACGGACCTGAAAAACAAAGGAGACCGCTAGCTAGGTGATAACTTCTCACGGGGACGCACAGTTAGTAACCTTTTTTAAAGTAAAGCAACCGGAAGGCAGCACGTTCTTTATTCTGAAAACCTCTGTAGCTTCTCTCCATTTCCGCGTCCGATTTCCTGTCTTTCCTTCCCCAAAAATGTCGAACTTGACCTGTTTCAGAGGCGTCGCGCGTAGAAAATAGAACCGGCGCGTAAAGGCTGCGACATGCTGCTCCTGAGACGCGGCCGACTCGCGCTGCTGACGGCTCCAGTGGAAAAGGTTCTGTTGACCACAGCGGTTCCTATCAGCAGCTATGACGTGCTGCTGCAGTAACGTGCTGCTGACGGCTCCCGTGAAAAGCCGGGGTTAGAATATTTTTGATTATTTGTGTGTATTTTTTGTTATTGAATTTAAAGTATAAAGCAAGTAAAGAGGGAACTGTGATGGGAGTTGCTGTTTCCAAAATCTCCATGCTGACCCACTGTCAGGCCCTGACTCAGGCGTGCAACTACTGTGAAGGTCTGAAGTTTATCTATTTATTGTGCTTTTCTGTTCAAAACTGTAAGAACCTGAAGTCTAAAAATTACTTTTTAGGAGAGACGCTGGTCAACGTGTTGGACTGCAAGAAGGACATGGGCTTATGGCACGGCGTTTTAACAGTAAGACTGGATGTAACACTTGGTTTATTCTAATCAGGGTGTGACTCATCATGAAACTGATGTGTTTTTTTTTTTTTTTTGTCTGGCAGAGTGTCATGAACAGAATTCACACCATCACTGTACCGTATGCTGTCATGAAAGCTTGTCCCATGTCCTGGGTGCAGAGGGTTCACATCCATAAAGGTTCAGACAAAGTTCCCAGGAGAAATTTACATTTTAACAAGATAAGCAGTGTTAACTTTACCTGGCCGATCGGTGTCAATAACCTCTCGTCTTACAGCACGTGTGGCCTTGGTGAAGTGTCGTGACCTCCACTGGGCCATGATGGCCCACAAGGATCAGAAAGACGTCAACTTGTCTTCGATACGTATGCTTATAGTGGCTGATGGAGCCAACCCATGTGAGTAACGTCTCATCCACAAGCCTTTATGACACATTTTATAGTGTGTATGGTATTTTTAATGTTTGCTTTATTTGTTGTTGACTCTCAGGGTCAGTGTCATCATGCGATGCCTTCCTGAATGTGTTCCAGTCTCACGGTCTGAGGCCTGAGGTCATTTGTCCATGTGCCACTTCTCCTGAGGCTCTGACTGTGGCCATACGCCGGTAGGGAGAAGCACCCTGACTCTAAAGCTGGTTCAATTTTACCTGCAGACATCATAACAAGTCACATTAACTATAGCAGGTTTAAAGTGACCAGCTCAGTGGCCTAATGGTATGAATGTCTGCCCTGGGACTGGGAGATTGGGGTTCAAATCCTGGTCAGGTCATACCAAAGACTTTGAAAATAATGGGACCCAATGCCTCCTCGCTTGACACTCAGCATTATGGGGATGGATTGGGGGGATAAACCACCAAATGGTTCCCGAGCGCGACTGTGTCTGCAGCTCACCACTCCACACGGCGATGGGTCGAATGTGGAGAACAAATTTCACACACTATACTGTGTGTGACAACTAGTGGGACTTTAACTTTAACTTGTAAAGTGTAGGGGGGAAATATTTCCCCAAATGTTAGTACTGATGTCCAGATTGAGTAAGAAAGAGGGTTATGGTGACCCTTAGATTTTGTGGCTGATTTTAATTAAATTAGTTTGAATTTGTAAGCCAAATCACTTAAACTCATTCATTGCTGTATGAACACATGTTGTATGAACATGTGTGACTTTGTGCCTTGTCTGTAGACCTGGTGCTCGTGGAGCTCCTCTCCCAGCCAGGGCCATCCTGTCTATGGGCGGCCTGAGCCATGGGGTCATTAGGGTCAACACAGAGGACAAGAACTCTGCTCTGACTGTACAGGATGTGGGCCACATTATGCCTGGAGGTAAGCCTCTGCAGCTGCTTCATTTAGCCTCTCAGGAAGGCGGTAGCCACCATCTTTGTTGAACATTCTTGTTTTTATAGAGGGAGAGTGGATGTTAATGTTGTGACCTAATTTCACAGCACTGATGTGCATCGTGAAGCCGGACGGACCTCCGCAGCTGTGCAAGACGGATGAGATCGGAGAGATCGTGATCAACTCTCGAGCTGGAGGCACCATGTACTACGGCCTTCCTGGTGTCACCAAGAACACATTTGAGGTTTGTCAGACAAGGGTTTTTAATTAGTGGAACAGATAAAAGTGTTGTCCTGAAACTGCTGAAGGGGTTGTGTGAGACGGATGTGTCCACTGGAATCGGCTCCAAACATCATTTTTATTCTGTAATATCTGAACAAGAAAGCATCACAATAATCTGTCTCTGGTTCTTTTCATTGTTCTGAGTGGATGATTTTTACTCTTAAAGTTCTGTCTCTGTGTTTTCTGCTAATTGTTACTTTAGGTGATCCCCGTGAACCAGGCTGGAGCTCCTATCGGAGAGATTCCCTTCAGTCGGACCGGTTTGCTTGGATTTGTGGGACCGGTAAGGAACACTTTTAAAGGTTTCAGAAGTAAAGCAGGTGTGTGAAATTTATTTTTTAGCTTTTAAATAGCTCTGTGGTTTAAAACCTACACCAGCTGATGGAGTTATAGTAATCATTTTGTTTAGAGACATTTTCCCCTCAGTTAATCCTCAGTTTTCAAACAGTCGTATTATAGAATAAATTTGAATTTGAAAGAAAACACCTACATTGTAGCCTTTAAATGGTTCATATATTTTAAATCTTTCTTTTTATCAAACATATTAAAACCGAAGCGCTTTGCCCTACAGGGGAGTCTTGTGTTTGTTGTGGGGAAGATTGAGGGACTCCTGATGGTGAGCGGGCGGCGCCACAATGCTGACGACCTGGTGGCGACTGCGCTGGCTGTGGAGCCTGTCAAAACTGTTTACAGGGGGAGGTATGACACTTCCTGGTCTCTGAGCCGCCTGAGGGATAGCTTTCATATTTCTCATATGAGTACATGGATACATTTAAGAAATAATGCGTAGACACAACTGTTACCTGCTTGTTTCAGTGTGTAAATCTACAGCTGTGGTGTGTTTATGTGTGATATATTTTTGTGGTCGTGTGCAGGATTGCTGTTTTCTCCGTGACGGTGTTTTACGATGAGAGGATCGTGATCGTAGCAGAACAGAGGCCTGATGCCAGTGAAGAAGACAGCTTCCAGTGGATGAGTCGAGTACTACAGGTACTTCTTTCATCTGCTTAAATCACTTTATTTACACTAATACTCTGCTTGTAACTCATAGAGTAGACGCTCAGATCAGACCACTTACTCCTCTCCATCAATGCTTTTAATGATCAAGTCTATTCACAGACTAATTCGTTTTCTATCAAGAGGAAGAATTTGGTTGTTTTGCGTTAATTTTGTGGTCATTTAGTAATTTCTTTAACTTCCTGTAAAGGCCATCGACAGCATCCACCAGGTTGGCCTCTACTGCCTGGCTCTTGTCCCAGCCAACACCCTCCCAAAGACACCGCTAGGGGGCATCCACATCTGTGAAACCAAGCAGAGTTTTTTGGAGGGGAACCTCCATCCCTGCAACATCCTGATGTGTCCACACACCTGTGTTACAAACATGCCCAAGCCTCGTCAGAAACAGCCAGGTAAGCCATCCTGGATATCGGTTATGCGTAAAATAAACAGAAATGATAATTAATGGATTTTGACATTTTCTGTTTACATTTATAAATGTGCACCAGCTAAATACTATAGCATCATTTAGCTGCCCAGCTTGACTACTTTGATGGGAGTTGAGGTCAGCTTTACACAAGTTATATATTTTTATTTATAATTTAGCACTGTTGGTATTGTGATGCCCGCTGTTCACTGCTGATGAAGGTTCCTCACCCTGTCTCTGATCTTCTCAGTGGACGTGGGTCCAGCTTCAATGCTGGTCGGCAACCTGGTGGCAGGGAAGCGGATCGCCCAGGCAACGGGCAGGGAGCTGGGTGTAGTGGAGGATCAGGATCCCATTCGAAAGGTAGAACCTCACGCTTTTAACCACGCTGTTCATGAATATATAGTGTAGCATGATTGTAAGGATGGGGACCACATGTCTCAGATGACTTTAACAGCAGTCAGAAGATAAATACAACAGTTATATTTTTTATTTTGACATTATAAAGCTAAACAGATTTAATTATGAAATTCCCCAAAAGAAAAATGCAAATTATTAAAATTTAATATGCTCCGTTCAGCAAGAGTAAGAGTAATGTGAATATATTTAGATTTGGGTTACAGATGGAACAAAGTGAGCTGAAACATGGACGTGTGTTCAGATATAAGATGAGTCTGAATCTGTCTGGGAGAATGGATACTGATGTCTTACACCTGTTGTTGTTGTTCTGCCTTTACCCGGGTTGGGCTTTAGCTCTGTATGTGGCCCACCATGATGGTAAGGTTCTAGCTCGGCCGCCCTACCCGGATCTGCTTCTGCTTCTTCTGTCAGTCCTGTGCTTCTGCGTCTTTAGCCACAGGGACGAAGGTCCAGGCTGGCTCCTTTTGTCAGCAGGGCTCCACACACTTACTCCATCATATCAGTACAGATTTACAAGAGATCCAAGTGTGAATACAGGCTATTATAAACAACCGTGTGCTCTCACAGGGGTCCAACACACAACTTGTTTTTATTTATTGGTGTGCTCCTCTGCTCGCTGCGATCGGTGTGACGCTCTTGCGTGTAGCATGGCCTGCATGGCGTCTCGCCTGACTCACAGCACGACATTTTGTCTGACTGAGAAAGTGGGTGTCACAGAGGGGGTTTAATGACATCACAAAAGCTGCTCCGTGTTGTTTGTGCGTCTAAAGAACATGGTGGTCTTAGCCTTGTGTGTATATTTTTTTATCTGTGCCCCGATGCCCGCTTGTCTTTTTGTCTGCTGGCTATAATCTCCTCTCCTGTTGTGTCCGGTGTTTTGGGAACTTTTCCCACCACAGTTCAAGAAACACATTTTTCCAGGCTCTAACGATAAACGACCACCTAAATGATTACCTAAAGGAAATCCCTGCAGACTTTTATACCAATTTTCTTACCTTTCTTAATCTAGAAGTAAAAATATAGAAGAATAGAGAAAAATGGTTTTATTTAAGTATTAGGTTGCTTGCTTATCATTCAAATCTAATTATTCTGTTTAACTCTTTCAGCACCAGTTCTTGTCTGAAGCTCTGCAGTGGAGAGCTCAAAGTGACCCCGACCACGTTTTATACGTCCTGCTCAATGCTAAGGTACATTGTTCACTCTGTTGGATTATTTATATTTGTGTAGCATTTACTTAATTACAAATGGAGGTTTGTTTTGTTGTCGGTTGAGCTGCACTTCCACTGTTCTCGCTGCAGGGCATAGCAGTGTGCACGGCCACTTGTGCACAGCTACACAAGCGAGCAGAGAAAATCACAGCCACACTCATGGAAAGAGGAGGCCTCAACACCGGAGACAACGTGGTGCTGCTTTACCCTCCAGGTGAGCGCACTGACTCAGCAGTTCATTGCTGTACATCTTCACTTTGAATGTGTCAAACGCAGTATTTTTATGATGATTATGATGTTTGTCCTCTGCAGGTATCGACCTCATCGCTGCCTTCTACGGATGCCTCTATGCAGGGGTCATCCCTGTGACAGTCAGGCCACCTCATCCCCAGAATCTGGCTGCTACTCTCCCAACAGTCCGTATGATCATCGATGTGAGTCCAGATCACACCAAACTTAGATTGACCTTCGTTAGATTTCACTTCATGTTTGAGTTGGATGAACATTTGTTCCTGTTGTGCTTGACAGGTCAGCAAGGCGGCTTGCATCCTTACCACTCAACCCCTCATGAGAATCCTCAGGTCCAGGGAGGCTGCTGCCAGTGTCAATGTCAAAACATGGCCGACAATCATTGATACAGGTACTAAAGTCTGACCTGTATCCAAGTCGGGTAACGCTGACCTTGTGACACAACGGTATCTACCTGTGCTGCTTTTGTCACCCATTTCAGGATTTCTGCAGACTTAAATATCTTTCTGCTCTTTGACTCATTCACTGCCAGCGATTTTAAGCGTTTTTTCTGTTTTTTTGAAGAGTCACTGAATATTGTGCTCTATGACCACGTAAACACCAAAACTACCAAAAGAAAGAATAGATTTACTTCTTATAGCTGGAAGAATCCGCTTGTTTCTAGCCTTTTCCGTTCTTTCACAGTTCGTTGTCGAAGTGTGAGCAGCAGAAGCTTTTTCTGGTTTGCGCCTTGCTTTAGGCATAGCGACCTCCCAAAACGATCTCCTGATTCATGGATTGTCTGCTTCATGATCATGTGAAGTGTGAAACACAGATGGAAATCAACTTCAGACTAGGGTTGTCACGGTGTGAAAATTTAACCTCACGGTTATTGTGACCAAAATCATCATGGTTTTCGGTATTATCGCGGTATTTTTTTAAACGTGTAACATTTTCAGACAACTACATTAATCCTGTATATCAGGACAATATTGTCCTCAGTTTGTGTCTAAATTTAGTCTAAAATGTGTTATTTTGTAATTATGTTGTTTATTTGTTTACATTTTTCCCCTTCAGTTTTTAAAATACCAATATTTGCCCATAACTTCTTATTTTTTGTCTGAAGTCATCATTTTAAAAATATTAGATCAGATGATACTCAGTACTCAAGTAGCCTTCTAATCAGATACTTTTTTTTACCCTTACTTGAGTAATAAACCCTATATCAGGAAAATATTTACCTCGGTTTGTGTCCTTCCAGTGAGCTTTGCAGATTTGGGAAAATGTCATCAGGCAGTAATCATTGTTAAATTCATAATTATTCTCGGAGAGAGACCAACTCTTATCTGCTCCTGGGAGCCCCGTAATGCATAGCGTCATTTCAACATGGGGGTGTCCGCGACACGGTTTATATGCAGGTAGCGGCGCTGCGGCTGCTTTATAGAGCGACTCGTTGCATTCTCCCTCAACCCAAATCCTTAGATCACGCATTTTAGCTAAAATGCTAACGTTAACTTGCCTTGCGTTGACTGTAGAGTTGTGGGTGATGGTCACGCAGATGTGTCATGAGATTTGAAGCCTTGCTGCCTTTCACAGACTCTTTTCCTGCACGTGCTGCAAACAGGATAGCCGTCCGTCTTCTATCAACTGTCCCTCGGCATTCTTCAGATATCCAAAAGATGCCCGTACTTCCCACTTTGTCTTCTTTGAAGGATAATAAATGTCCTCCTGAGCGCTGCCGGCTCCTCCTTTGGCCATTATTTCAGCTTTAGCTTCAAGAAAGTTTTGGCTGTAAACAACAAAGTGCGCATGTGCCGCCGGCAACTTCAGCAGATGATACGGTGGCTGGTAAGGGTCACCGCGCCTACACCGCAGCCACGATAATCCACCGAGATAATTTATTTTTTTAAAAACAAGACGGTTATTATTATTGTCAACTTTTTTTCCGGGGTTTACTGCTACACCGGTTACCGTGACAACCCTACTTCAGAGCTGTGATGTTTATTCTCAAGGTGGGCAAGCTCGTTCCCATGCCCACTCCGTTAAAAAACGCAGTTGAATTTTTTAATGAACTCTGAGAATGTTCTGAAAATCTCTCGCAGATCTAGGTGTACTTCGTAGTTCCAAGTGTACATTCTGAAATATTTGTACCATTTAAATTTGAGACATCAAATACTTTTTAAACTGTTGAGAAATGTACATTGTTGTTTGAAATGATCCCAATGCCTATAAACCACAAACAATAAGAAATAAAATGATGATTTTTCTCTGCTTTGCCAGATGATCTCCCCAGAAAGCGTCCTCCACACATCTACAAACCTCCCACAGCTGAGATGCTGGCCTACCTGGACTTCAGCGTATCCACCACAGGCATGCTGACTGGAGTCAAGGTAAATCCTCCCTCATCTCTTTCATTCACTGCACACACACATGCACGCACGCACGCACGCACGCACGCACACACACACACACACACACACACACACACACACACACACACACACACACACGTCTGTCTTTCTATTATACTGAGGCTCCTCCAATCATTTTGCATGTGATTTCACCATGCCTGACCCATACCCTAACCATAACCAATGCTGATCTATTCCTAACCTTAACCTTAACTAAAACTTACTATACCTCTAACTGGTATAGTAAGTTTATATATGCTTTTTATTTTTATTTTTCCTGCTTCCTGTTGACGTCAAAAACTGAGCCAGTCTTTTCCTAAAGCTCGTTTTTATTCCCATTTCTGCCCTTTAATCTCCTTTTGTAGTTGTTTTAAGCCTTCCTGATGCTTTTCTTAGGAGTGTTTCACTTCTTTCAGATGTCTCATGCAGCGATCAGCACTCTTTGCCGCTCCATTAAGCTGCAGTGTGAGCTCTACTCCTCACGCCAAATAGCCATCTGCCTGGACCCGTACTGTGGGCTAGGCTTCGTCCTGTGGTGCCTCTCCAGTGTTTACTCAGGTCACCAGTCCATCCTTATCCCTCCACTGGAGCTGGAGAGCTCACTGCCTCTGTGGCTGAGCACGCTTAGTCAGTACAAGATCAGAGACACCTTCTGCTCCTACTCTGTCATGGAGCTCTGCACCAAAGGCCTGGGAACACAAACGGAGATGCTGAAGGTCAGAATCTTCACCCAATGTGATTCCGGAAGTGAAGAACTAGTGTTTTTTTTTTTTTTTGACAACATCGCTCTTGTGTGTGTTTTCAGGCTCGAGGAGTGAATCTATCATGCGTGCGAAGCTGTGTGGTGATAGCAGAGGAGCGACCTCGTCTCGCCCTCACTCAGTCCTTCTCTAAGCTCTTCAAAGACCTGGGCCTGTCCCTACGAGCTGTCAGCACGGCCTTCGGCTCCAGGGTGAACCTGGCCATCTGCCTGCAGGTGGGTTTCAAACCGGCACACCTGTGTTTCACCGTGACACCACCAGTGCTCCTGAAGGAGCTAAAGTTACGTCTCTGTGTCATCAGGGCACCTCTGGACCAGATCCCTCCATGGTTTACGTTGATATGAAGTCCCTGCGTCATGACCGGTAGGAAGGGAGGCGGCTACAGTGGCACTGCTGGTGGAAACAAACACTAAACGCTTTCCTCTGTGTTCCTCAGGGTCAGGTTGGTGGAAAAAGGAGCACCTCAGAGTCTTCCCCTCATGGAGTCGGGCACTGTAAGTACCGTTAGATGATGCTCTGAGTGGCCAGTGAACCAGAGAGGAAATTACATTATTTATGGGGTCATAAATGCTTTTTTCCTTCTTCCAAGATCCTGCCAGGTGTCAGGGTCATCATAGTCAACCCAGAAACCAGAGGCCCGCTGGGAGACTCGCATCTTGGGGAGGTGAGTCAGCAGAAATGATCGGTTTGGTGTTCCATCCTTCAAGTGGCTTCGCTTTCATAAACTGGAGTTAGTTCAGGCTAAGAGTAGCGCCAGGCTTATTTATAATTATACATTCATTTTTAGTGTATTATTTCTGTGTTTCCACAAGAAAACTGAAGCTGTCTTTCTGTCTGTATGTAGATCTGGGTGAACTCCCCTCACTGTGCCAGTGGCTACTACACCATATATGGGGAGGAGAGCCTGCAGGCGGATCACTTCAACACCAAACTCAGCTTTGGGGATCCTCTGACTCTGTGGGCTCGGACGGGCTACCTGGGCTTCATCAAGAGGACGGAGCTGCTGGATGCCAGCGGAGGCGAGACAGATGGAGTAGATGGTAATCTCTTCTATTTAGTCTGTCTGCCTAATCATTTATTTTTCTGTGACAGACCGCCATGATGCCTTATTTGTGGTGGGCTCTCTGGATGAAACGTTGGAGCTGAGGGGATTACGGTATCACCCCGTCGACATTGAGACGTCGGTGTCCCGAGCCCACCGCAGCATTGCTGAGAGGTGAGGGTGGTTACACCTGAACATCACAGGTCATCTGTAAATATGACCCGTTTACAGCAGCAAACAGAACTTTTTCTGTTCCCCCATCAGTGCTGTGTTTACGTGGACCAACCTGCTGGTGGTGGTGGCGGAGCTCAGCGGCTCGGAGCAGGAGGCCTTAGACCTGGTGCCCCTCGTTACCAACGTGGTGCTGGAGGAGCACCACCTCATCGTGGGAGTGGTCGTTATCGTGGACCCTGGGGTGATCCCCATCAACTCCAGAGGAGAAAAGCAGAGAATGCACCTGCGAGACTCCTTCCTGGCGGACCAACTAGACCCCATCTATGTGGCTTACAACATGTGAACAACCTTCAGAAACCGATGCCCAAAACTGAGCCAGGATCAGAGGAATCACGAGGGACCTGGGGAGTGAACAGTAGCAACCCCAGTGCTGACCTAGACACAGATTTAAGAGACCAAGCAACACGGGAATGCGAGCACAGGAAACGGACCGTAACCGTAAAATGCTTCCCTCTCAAACAGTTCTTTCTTTGCTTCCACCTGCTGGATTGCTGCAGCCCACACTCACCAAGAGGATGGGGATAGAACCCTCTTCTTCCACAACAATCCAAATCATGTGTTAGACGCTTTTACTTCTGAATGCTCCTTAAGACAAATATTTTCCATGTCTTTGACTCATTTACCATCCATTTTTTTTAGTTTCTTTTTGTACCTCCTCTTGTCAAAGACAAAGGAGGGCGCACTGGAACTTCCTCTTTGCCTGCACGTCTTTGCACGTCCGGCTCCACGTCGTGTCTCTCCTACTTCAAAAGGAGGTCCCATGTCTGCTGCTTTCACAAGAGCAAACGTCCACATCAGTATTAAAAAGTGCCACCAGCAAGTCCACCGTCTTGCTATCACCCGTATTCGCCGGCAGACGTAGTGTCAGCATTCGCTCATTACAAACAAAAACCTGAAGACCTGGATAGTAAACAAAAAAAAGATACCTTCTTTTGGGTGTGCAAAGACTCACCGAGTTAGAGTTACTAGTAATTATTAAGTTGATGCACCAATTTTAAGAACAAGATTTAAAAAATATTTGGTGTTAAAGTGTGTGTGTTAATTGGGAGTGCAACTGATGTCTACCTTCAGGCTTTTACAAAGATCTAACACTATCAAGCCAATGAGCCCTATTTTATTTCTTAGTTCTTAAAGTTCAGGCTGGTTTGTGCCTCTCATGGCCACCGATCAGAAATAAAAACCTCATGTTCATCACTTTTTAAAGATCTGTAATAATGGCCACATTAGTCTTTATTTGACATTTTAACATGTTTAGTAATAAATGTGATTTGAAAAAAATAGTAAATGACTTAAAGGCGGCTCAGTAGAGCCACTGGGATTAGGAATAACAGAGATTATTCATTCCTCCCTTTAAAAACAGTGGTTCAGCTGAAAAAAAAAGTTTGAGATGTTTATAAATCCTGTTAAAAAAATCAGTTTTAACATAAAAAGCTGATGTTCTGAAAAGAGGTGCTAGCTTCCAGCCTGTGTGTAGTTTTAAGTCTAAAACAGCATCCGGTAACGTCACAGACGCTTAGGTAAACGTAGATCATCAGAAGGCAGGTCAGTGCCTTTCACCTTAGATGTTTATAGTTATAAAATATTCAATTCATTAAAAAAAAGTCTCTTTGCCTTATTGCATCTGTGGGACCTCCACAGAAATCAGACTCCAGTAGAACAGAAAACACCCTCATGCCTCATAGAGAAGTCTGCTCTTTACCTTTGTCATGCCTCCCTTTGATTTAAGTGTGATCGATATTTAAACCAGTTCTTTCTGAATGTAACACTGAGAGGGGAAAAAATAGAAGCAATCCGTTTAGCAACATGTGACTCAAAAATGGCAAAATCCTCCTTTAAAAGAAAAAAGTACAATAGATAGGGTTAAAATGTCTGTATAATGTATTTTAGAGGTCAAATACTGTACTACTAGTGTTACTGTGTTCATAGAGATGGACTCTGTAGATAAAAACTTGACTGATCTTTCATACTTGACAGCATCTTTCTGTATTATTAGTTCAGTTATGCCAGATTTTCAAAGTAAAAGACATGGAACCGGTTATTTAGGCAGAAACAATGTGCACTTTCCCAATATCATTTTCTGTGTGTGTGTGTGTGTGCACGTACATGAGTACGTGTGTGTGTGTGTGTGTGTGTGTGTGTGTGTGTGTGTGTGTGTGTGTGTGTGTGTGTGTGTTCAGCTTAATGATATTTGGCATTTTGGTGCAACAAGGTTTATATTTTGTACTAAACTAATCCCAAAATATTGAGCCTTTTTTAATTTTCTTTTATTTTTGATGTCGCCTCCACTGTATTTCCACTCTTTCCATCCAGAATTTGGGTTTAATATATTTTCTTGGGCTTTCACTGATATTTTCCTGATGCATTTGGACCTGCACAGCCTCTGCAAACCACTGGTTTAATTACCCAGCAGCCTGACACACGCATGCATCCCATCGAAGGACCACTGAGGACACGTACGCGAGCCAGTAATTTGGTCACTCATGAATAACTGTGTGATAATTGCTTTGTCGCTACTGTTTCACTCCAACGAGTTTTAATAAAGTTTTATAATTTCTCATTGGCCTTCAAGCCTTTTCAATAGACGGTGCTATTCAATAAAAAAAAGCCGTAGACAGATTTTTGTCCTTCAGCATTTTCACAAAAAGGGTTCTGCCTCGAAGTCCTTTTTGTGTGAAAGTAGATCTTTTACTGTGCTAACATGGTTTTTAGCTTCAGTTCAAATCTTAAATACTTTTTTATCCACTCAGTGATCTGATGCAAAATCTCTCCACAGGCAACTGGACACAGGCAATGCAACCTGACTTTTTTATTGTGTTTTGTGCTGTGAGAAACATTTCAATCGTCCAAAGTTGTTCTAAGCACAAAATGTAACTGTACAGGTGTGACAATGAGCAAAATAATACAAACAGGATTTTTCACTCCCATGAATGAATAAAAGACGTCAGTGGTTCACACTCTATACCTCAACAACAACCGTCTGCTCACTATGCATCATGGAGCTGCAGCGAACATGTTCTGGACTAGTCAATGGTGCGATAACTTCTAACAACATGTCACACTTGACAAAAACACTGTCACGCTGTCATTGGATGTGATTCATGTCAAATAAAAAAATGCTTTGTCAGACTTGTTTTTCCTTTTATTTTAACCCACAGATGTCTCCCAGCAGCAGCTCGCCTTCCATCCACCAGGCGTCACTGTTTACGCTTCGTCCCAATCTTTAAAAAAAAGCATAATTGATAATGATGTCATAGCAAAGTTCCATATTTACAGATTTTCTTAATCAGGACGTTTATTCTGGTTGGTTAATTTGCATTTATTTTTTAGATTTTCTTATGTAAACAGCAGCAAAACATGGATGCAAGACCTGCTAGAAAAATCTGAAAAGTTAGGATACAACATTTACATGCAATGCTGGGGCTCTTCATAATGCTTTATTTTGTGTATTGCATCAGAAAACATTGATTATACTCTAGTAAAAACGACAAACCGCACAAATGACTATTTAAGAAAATTAATGACTGGTTTATCTCAAAGTGGTTGATGTATCAGCTCTTACGCACTCTGGCGGCCACGTAGCGAAACTAAACTTAGGTTAACAAAATATAATTCATTAGCATTTCCTGTAGATTCCTTCAAAATAAAAAGGAAGAGGAAAGGATTTTTTTAAACATAGAGCCTCTCAAGATGAAAATCAGGATACACTTTACAAAAACATTAAAAATAAAATAAAAAGATAAAAAAACTTCATAAAAATGGAGACAAATGAAAAATTAGAAACAAAATAAAATCCAAAAGGCAATAAAAATGAAAAACATAACCTCCAACATACCACTTGAAGGCGTGCACTTTTTGTAAATTCTTTCATAATAAAATACTGCGTCAATTTGACTTTTGCAACAGGAGAACATCCTCTTGTATTATAAAAATCATTAAAGAGCAAAAAGAAATATTTGATACGGATATGTGTGTGTACACTCGTATGTGTGTGTGTGTGTGTGTGTGTGTGTGTATGTGTGTGAAAGCAGTGTGCAGCAGTGTGAACCCAGAGATTGCTGAAGATGACCATACCACATTGTGCACTGGATGCTCACCTGTCAGGCCACGCCCCCTCAGGTGCTTCTCGGCCACCCACAGGACTCCGACCAGAGTCTATCCCAACATCATGAGTAAGAATTTTAACATAACATTAAATATCAAAACGTCACGTACGATTGTTGCCACACCTCTTAAAACAATTACACCCCAAAACAGTCCTTTACTGTCGTAACTCGTGTCTTCACAGAAAAAAACAAGCAATAAGTTTATGCAGCACAGAGTAATTAGAGGAACATATTATTATCATTATTATTATTATTGTTGTTGTTGTTGTTGTTGTTAGTATTAGTATTATTATGTGACCTATTCTATTTATGGATAATGATGAACAGAGGAGTGTGACTGTAATCCTTGTGTCCTGTTGACACTGATTTTAAAACTTGATGTTATGAAGTCTGGTTTGCTTTATGGTGGCATTTATCTACATTTGTTATGTTTCCTACCCTAATGCGAAGGTGACTTTATGACATATTAAGATATGCATCATTAAAAGTAAAATAGTGAATTCAAAGCACATGCTTGTGTTGAATGTGACTCACTTTCTATGGAAAAAGGGTTGCGTGTCATTTATAAAACATGAATAAAATTGTAGGTTTTTCAGATTAGTGACGATTAAAATCAAGATTTACACTGACAGAAAAACATTTGCAGTAGTTTGTTATTAAAGTACTCATCTTTACTCATCATTAAGCTAAAGGACTCACTCTCTGTGCTTCCCCATGACCTCCCTCCCACCTGCGGAGCCAGCTGGTTGAGCGCCACAGGCAGCCCCCGCTGAGGAAACCAGGATCCCAGCCCCCCCCCCTACCTACCGGGCCTCATGTTGTGAACTGTGACGTTTGTGCTTACATGTCGGGTGTTTTTTGCATTAGAGTGCTACACCCTGCTGGTGTGACCCTGTTAATGCCTTTTTTCTCCCTCCCCTGAACTTTCCTCATGTATTCCCTCATTCATCTACAAAGGAGCGCCGTCAAAAGGCTGCTCCCATGGTCTGCCTGCATCTGTCCTGTCTATATGTGTGTGTAACCTTGGTCAGGTTGTACTATGGAGTCGAGTTCCTATGCTCTGATCTGATCTGAGCGCTGGCAATAAAATTAATTCTGATTCTGATTCTGATTCTGATCTGTATAGTTGAATTATTTTTGTTTATTTTTGAAATCACATCAACAGACCACTGACTCATGAATAACTGTGTGATAATTGCTTTGTGGCAACAATATAAAATAATGTTTTTGTCAATTCTTTTTTCTTTTTAACCCACAGACGTATCTCAGCAGGTTTCACCGTTTCTGCTTCATCCAAAAATATAAAATCACTCATAAAAATGTCACACAGTTCAATGTTATTCAGGTTTATGTGTATTCAGGATACCAGATTAGCAAGTTTAGGTTTATTTAGTCTAGTTTTTTGGTTAAAAGTTCGTTTTTTTTCAAAAGAAAAACAGGTTTGACTAATTTTATGTTGCAATGGAAAAAAAAACATCCAAAAAACCTGCTAGAAAAATCAAACTCAAATGAGTTATCTAAAATAACACTGGGACTGACCCTCACAAAAAAACGTGTCTGAAATTAAAACACAAACCCTAAATGAACAACTCTTTCTTTACATTCTGTTTACATTATTCTTGTTTGTCTTCTTAAAACCATTCTGAGTCATAATTAATGTGACCATATACGATATGGAATGTGACCTTCGTCAGAGTTTAAGCCCTAAAGAAGGTCGTACACGACTGAAACACGTTGGCTTTTCCCTTTTCCTCTTGCACTAATAAAAACATTTTTCTGAGTGCCTCGGATTACCTATTTTTCTTCCCCATACACATTCCATAATTTATTAGATCCTGAAGAGCACCTGAAATATATATTTAAAATATTTTATGCAAACCCCACCTGTTTTGATGAAGCAAATGTGATCTTTTATGATGTTTAACCTAAAATGTTTAAACTCTTGTGTGTAAAACAGGTCATTTTAGGATTTGTTCAAAAGGAAAGAAAAACAAATCCTTACACTGTAAACAGAGCCTGTGACACTGAGACATGCCTGGGGTCAGGGACTCTATTTATTGCAGATGCTTTAGAGCAGCATCAGAGCTGCACTGAGCAGAACTGGGATCAGTTTTCTGTTCAGTCTTTCTGAAGCAGAAGGTGCTGGTGTTGCCTCCTGATTTGCCTTCAGCCAGTCTGCAAACCTGCTGGTTTGTGCATACACCCCTGGTCTGAGAGGAAGCCCGCACTGCTCTCCGAAGCTCGTCACTCCCACCACATAGAAGCTGCCATCGTTTTCGCTGTAGCACTGCAGGGGCCCTCCGCTGTCCCCCTGCACCCAGCACCACCAGTGTGTTAGAGGCCAGAAATGTGCAGATGACACAGAATAAGACCTCCATCATACCTGACAGGAGTCGACTCCTCCACCCTCCAGTCCTGCACAGATCATGCTTTCAGTGATGATGCCGTTGTACCAGGTGGGTTGGTTGCACATCTGTCTGTCGATCAGCTCCACCTCAGCCTCCTGCAGTCTGTCCACCACACTGCCTGCAGAACACACACACACACACACACACACACACACACACACACACACACACACACACACACACACACACACACACACACACACACACACACACACACACACACACACACACACACACACACACACACACACACACACACACACACACACACACACACACACACACACACACACACACACACACACACACACAACACTGTTCATAACTCATTTATTCTACAGCCACAAGTTGTCACATTTATGGAAATATATGTAGGAGCACCCCACCTTTGTAGTAGAGGCTGCCCCATCCAGAGATGAAACAGTGGCTGAAGTTCAGAGAGACCTCATGGCTGGAGCTAAGAGGAGTGCAGGCTGGCTGGACGTAGGCCGTGAAGTTGAGCGGAGAGCTGAGCAGCACCAGCGCTACATCGTTGTCAGTTGTGGTGTCGTTGTAGTCCTTGTGAATTTTGACTTCTCTGATGGAGCGTACCTGAATGTGAAGTCCTGGAGCAGACAACACGTTCAGTCCTGCCATCACTCTATACTGGTTTCTGCTGATGGACCTGAACACAAACACAGGATCAGTATGTGTATAGTGTGTGTGTGTGTGTGTGTGTGTGTGTGTGTGTGTGTTTGTGTTCACCACTCACATGTATTTGTAGAAGCAGTGTGCAGCGCTGAGCACCCAGAGGTCGTTGATGATGGTCCCACCACAGTGATGACTGTAGAAAATCTGGACGCTCACCTGCCAGGGCCACGCCCCCTCAGGTGCTTCTTGGCCACCCACGATACGAGACACATCAGGGTTCCCGACCAGAGTCCGCTGCCCACAACCTTACGAGTAAGAATATATGTTTTATCATGACATTAACCCTTTGATGCATGAATAATGAAATCTTCAACCATGATTTTTTTAACAATTTTTTTCATTCATCTTTAGGTGTGAATGAAACAAATTTCAACAAATATTTTTTGTAAAATTTTATAATTTACAAATAATTTATTACATGTCCACCTCAGTGGACAGGGTGCATTCAGAACATGAAATATGTTGGCTTGGCTTACTGAAGTCCAAATGGAGGGGCTCAAATGCAATAAAGTCTTCAACAGCTGTGCTTAATATCAAAAACAAATACATAACAATTTTGAGTACCTGTCCACTGTAGTGACCGTTATGCATCAAAGGGTTAAAAATAAAAACGTTGTTGCCACACTCAGTCAAGAACACTCTTGATCATTTTCTGCCAAAATAACAAATAAACCAAACATGAGCTAAATGTTTACTCTAATGTTTAAAACTCACCATGTTGTGCTGAGGCTGGAGCGGACAAACACACGATACTAAAAAACAGGAGAAACACCTTTACCTCCATCTAACCTGGACTCAAAAGGACTTTTAACTTCAAACAAAAACAGTTCCTTCCGGTCAGTGATGTAATGATGCGCATGGAGATAATTCTTCCTAGTAACACATTGTTTTTTTCCATTCTATTCAGTTTTATTCAAACGGTAGAAACACACACACACACACACACACACACACACACACACACACACACACACACACACACACACACACACACACACACAGCAGAAGTCAGGTTACAACTTAAAAAACTGCTTTTCATACTTTTTATTTTGTAATAGTTAGTTCCATGTAACGTTTTCTCAATGTTTAAAGAGCAAGTCACCCCTTACAAGAAGCATATCACTCCCAATTCATGTTTGAAAAATGCAACAAATGCTGTTGCCTAGCAGACCGAGAGGGTGGAGCCACTAACAAATACACACACTCACGACATTGTGACATCATAATGTACCAGTTTACATCACAGCATACCTCTTAGCCAATAGCGGTGGCAGATTTAAATTCAAATGCAGTGAAGAGTTTTTACCTGACAACGGCACAACTCTGACAGTTTCAGGCAGAAAATTAAAAATTTAACTAACATGCACTAAAGTGCAAAACTATTGACTACACGTGTCTGCAGCACGATTAGACACACATTTATATAGTTTATCAGAAAAAAATTATTGATTTGGGGGTGACTTGCTCTTTAAGAGAGTATAGGGGAATTGCTACTACTACTAATAATAACAATAATTATAATAATCATAATTATAATGATAATAATAATAATGATTAATAAGTGATATGATCAATGCATTTATTGATAATGATGAACAGACATATTGTAATTGTAAACACTGTCATTAGTGATTTATGCTTAATGGAGTCATTTGACTACATATTTTGTACCGCAAGAATAAGAGTTATTAAAATTGACACTGAATTAAGTAAAATGTTGAATATATGTTAGAAAAAAGTTGCATGGTAAAAAGGCAAAATAAAGCTTCTAAATAATTGATGGACTTATTATAATTAGGAGTTACAGAAAGAAACATTTAAAACCCCATCATTTATTTTATGGTGCTCTGCTGTCAGCACTCTCAACGCCTGCAAACTACAAAAAACAAAAATCCTGCGCTGAAAGGAAAGGTGTCTGCTCTTCTGCGCGTGCATGCTCATCAGGTCCCTTTAGCAGGATAATCTGGGGTTTGGAGTCTGCAGGCCTAAATGACCTTTAGGATTTTACCAAGCGCACTTGCCGACACTCCCTCACATTCTGCTGAGAGTCATCAATTATGCAGGGAAGCTGCTGCTCGCTCTGAGGGGGGAAGAGAGCAGCAACAATATGGCGACAACCGCAGTTTCTCCCCGATCTTTCCCACATCTGCAGTCCTGCAACGACTCTCCGGATTCCCTGTAACCCTTACAGAGTGAGTATGTTTCATTTGTGGTGTTTTTTTTATGAAACGCTGGGCTGAGGGTGGATTTCTCCGTCGGTGGGATTCCTTGCGTAAAGCCTAAATGTCGCAGAGCTGCTCACTGCCCCGCGTCTTTTTTCTGGAGCGGGATGGAAGAGGGTGTCAACTAAACAAGTGGACTGGACCAGAGCAGAGATGAATGATATACACGACTGATGATTAGTCGGGCTCGATGACAAGGGATTGTTGCGATTGTTCCAGCACCTGGGCCATAGGAGGAGGAGAGCGGTTTTCAGCCAAGACGCAGTCTGACTCCTCCAGCATATAAAAGCCAAATAAATGTGCATTTAATACCCTGATCATACAAGGACTAACAAGATGATGCACTTGAAACACACGGCTTCGAAAAAGAAGGTGACGCTGTGTGAGTATGATCTTTTTCTCATAAATTAAGGCGTTTATGCTGCTGCAGGTGATCTGCTGTGGCTGCAGCGCCATGACCCATGCTCGTGCTTCATCCTACAAACATATGTGCAGATTCCGGCTCCATCTCCGGGTTTGTGTTTTGCACAGGTATTGATTTGCCAGTAGACATGGCTCCTCGGGTGTGGTGCAGATTCTTATGGCGCGCACAAAACGCACATAATGTCCCGACCGAGGACGACCTCTTCATGTATTTTCATTATTCCAAATGAATGCGTAGTTGGATGATTCGTGGAGAAACGTTTAGAAACTTGCAGCTTTGAGTGGGGAACCCATAGATGCGTTGTTCTCAGCGTGACATTTGCAACATACAAACCACCCACTGCAGCAAACACCGCTCTGGTAGATCTGCGCGGAACGGGCCACTTTTCTGCGCAGTAAAAAGCCTCCACAGAGGCGGAGCACGACTTTTCTAATGAATGCAACATTAATCAAAACCAATGCTGTCTAATTCAGGCCATCTCTAGATTATCAGCGTGTAGAGACGAGATTTGGGCAGAATAGATCAAATAATGGAGAAGACGGAACGATGTGCGCGTGCGGAGCAGCTGTCACCATGACTTCAGGGATAAAGATCCGGCCGGCAGGAGAGCACACTGTGTCTTTTTTTCCTTTCCATCTTTTCACCGGACAGATCGGTTTTGATTTCTTCCCTGCGCGTATACGCACTCACGCGCCCGTGTATGTGTTGGTGCGCGCGCGCCGTGGTGCTGAAGCGGACAGCGCCAGCAGAGCCTCAGAAGGTTCCGGGATCCATTTTAAAACGGCCTCCTCTGCGCGCATGTGTTCTCTTTAGCTTTGGTGTGTTTTCATCATCATCATCATCACCATCACTCCCCCATGCCAGGACAGGAAGAGTGCAAGTCCCCCCCACTCCCCGTGATTGCAGCTCGGGCATTTGCAATTAGAGTGCGTTATGCAAGAGGGGAGCAGAGGGAGGGACGGGCCTTGTGATTCAGATATGGCGGACGGTCTTGTTCCACAAAAATAATCTGTGCGGTCTAACGTGAAGAGTTTAACCAAGAAATGGGACGAAAAGTTCCTGGAATGTGTTTCACATTAGACAGACCCTCTTCCTCATCTTTCTTCCCTCTTCACTCCTGGTTTGAGTCATTGCGCCAATTAGCACGAAGGAGTGTTTAAGAAAAGCCCCACCGAGTCATGCAGTTAGTAAGTCAGCTGAATTTTCTGACATCATTTCTATAATCTTCCCCCCAAAAGTAATAAAATCCTTGCACTGGTCTGGGTTAAAAACTCCAAACAAAACCAGACATGCAGATTATTTTATTTTAGGGCTTGAGTGTCTGAGTGAAATCTTGAGAAGTTTTGCAACCAGAAATGCATATGAGCACTAAGATATGGAACCCAACGTATTGTTTTGTTTGTTGACACTTTACTATGTATAAACAGCTTTCCAAGTCATAGAAACACTAATGTTATGGAGACATGATTTTTTTTTACATTTTTATTCCAAAAAGTTAAAGCTGAGTGATAGCTAATCTGTTGGTCGTTGAGTCTGTAACATGTCTTCATTTAGTCTCATTTTTTCCACATCAAGCAGGAAAAATCAACAACTATGTAACAAACACAGGGCATATAAAACTAACATCACACACTCGTGTTCTAAACCAACTATCCTCAGTAGGGTCACTGGGAGCTGGAGTCTAACCCAGCAGTCATAGGAAGAGACATGGGGGACACCCTGGACAGGTCACCAGTCCCTTACAGGGACACATCAGACACACGACCATTCACACACTCACACACCCCTATCTCCAATCAACCTGAACATGCATGTTTTTGGTCTGTGGGAGAAAATCCATGCATGGGGAGAATTAACTCTGCACAGAAAGGACAAAGCAAGGATTTGAACCTGCAACCCTTTTGCTGCAAGGCAACACTGCTGCCATCTGCACCACCATGCAGCACATATCTTATGTTTGTGAAAAGCTACAGTAAGCAGAGTTTCAAAATGTTGCTGAAAAAATTGGGTAACACTTTATAATAAAGGCCCCTTTATTAACATTACTTTGTGCATTATTAAGCATGAACAAACTCTCAAAGTATTAACAGCTGCTTAACCATATTATGTTATGCAATACTAATCACACCCCCCCCCCCCCGGCCCTTTGTCCTAACCTTTAGGACACTTAAAAGTTAACAGTAACGTTCATAAAGGGACCCTTTTATGTTTAATAACACACTATGTAACATTAATAAAGGGACCATTATTGTAAAGTGTTACCACAAATTGTATTAGCATTATATTTTGTCTGTGAAGCTGTGAGTTTCTGCCAGAAATGGTTGTTCAGATTATTTTTCTCCTTCTGCCTTCTGCAGAGCTGCTACTGTGGATGGTACAAACCTAATGACCAAGTAGTTGCAGGATGAAAACATGGCTGCACCCCTTCTTGCACCGCCAGGACCTGATAGCTTCAAGAAGTTTACGAGGGAATCTTTGGTGGTCCTTGAGCAGCGCATCACAGAGGAGAAGAACAAGAAGCCACCCAAGCAGGACAGCAGCTACCGAGATGATGATGACGAGAACAAGCCCAAACCCAACAGTGACCTGGAGGCCGGGAAGAGCCTGCCCTACATCTATGGGGACCCGCCTAAAGGAATGGTGGCGGTACCCCTGGATGATCTGGATCCGTACTACCTGAAGACTCAGAAAGTGAGTTTAGAAAAATGTTTTTTTTTTCTTTTGCTATTTTGTACTAGAGCTGGAAGGATATTTCACAACTGTTTAGCAAATATTAAAACCCAAAAAGCCTGAAAACGTCTGTCTACAACATTTAAGTATTCAGATCTTCAGCTTCGTTTAGATTTAGTAACGCAAAGGTAAAATGTAATCCTGCTCAGAGGTATCTGTCCCAGTCTTCAGACACTTAACCTTCCTAAATTCCAAATTCAGTGCCCATAACATCACACATGCTACACTTATCATTATTTCATCATGCATGGCCTGTTTTGCCTTCATATCCTCTGCAAAAGTCTCCATGATGAAAATAAACATGTTATCTTCCACATGTTTTTCTATATTATGCCTGCACAGTTTTAGAAAACATGCAATTGCAAGTTAGCTGAGTATTAAAATGAAATTGTCAGTGGTGATAAAGCCAGTTGTTCTGTCATCATTATGCAAACGTAGCTCTTTGTGCCAGCTGAGTGTGTTTATTAAAGTGAGGGTCCATCTGATTGGCAGATATGTACATGGTGTTTGCCATTTGAGTCTTTTGAAGACATTGAGTGCAGGTCAAATACAAGCAGACAGTTGTTATCTCCAATGTTCCACACAGAGCTTTAGGGCAGAGGCCACAAACAGAAACCATTAAAGAAACCGTTGTTTTCAAATCATTCAGAACTTAATCTGTGCCAGAAAAAGGCAGCAGCAGGCAGAGAGGACTGCTGCTGTCTGAGAGGAGACACGTGTCTCTCTGGGGCTCTCGTCATGTCTGACACTTCTTGTGAGGATGGCCAGGTGTGACCTTGACAGGCTCTGAATATCACCAGCTAACTGTCAGCCAAAAGTGCTGAAGGAGACCATTGTTGTCGCGCTGCTCCGGTCGTGAGTCAGCCTCAGATTGAAGGTTAGAGAAGGAAGGAAGGGCAACACGTGCAGGTGTGGAGAGAAACTGAAACGGAGAAGTGGAGGAGTGTAAAACAGAGAATCTGCAGCCATGTTGGAGCATCGACGTGAACGATGCCCTGCAAGATGCAGAATGATCTGAGCATTGATGTAGATCCAGGTGAGTTTCCAACTGGATCATGCTTCGCTGCTCTAACAAAGAAACATGAAAATAGGATCAATATGAATTTTAAAGCTGCCTCATTTCCCATCAGTCTGCAAAGCTTTCCTCTTAACTTTACTCAAACACAAGCTGGCATGAATGTGTGTGTGAGAGTAAAGAAGATCCATGTCCTCTTTGTTTTACCTCCCTGTCTCCACATGGTGCACGCTGCATGTTATATAACACACCAGTCCAGCTCACGAGAAGGAGACACGATTCCAATGACACGTGGCAAACATGTCCAGCATTCTGTGGGACTGTTTGTTGATTTTTCTCCAGCTAAAATACAACTCGTTCATTTTCAGTGCATCACTGTCAAAGAAGAACCCTGGTCCAACGGGCATCTTCAAGCTGCTCTCTCCAGCAGTCCTCTCAGCTCTCTGTTTGGGCAAATCTAATTATGGCCACCAGTCTGGGCTCTTTCCAAGAGGGACCTGATGCCACCTTAGTTCTGGGGCAGCTCCTGACGTCAGATCAGATGGTGACCTTGTGCGTCCCCGTAGCTGAGGGCTACCAGACCCGCTGAGGAGGGCTCAGCCAGGCTGTGTTCTGTGCTGCTGGACAGAAAAATAGTTTTAAAAGAGAGGGGGAAGATAGAAGGAGGAAGGGAGGGAGAGATGATATCAGGACAGGGAGGAAATGGATGCACTTTCTCTGCAACTCATATTTTTGTTTTTCTAGCTTATTTTAGTATAAATGCAAAGCTTTAGCCTTTCAGATGTCTAATGAGGACTGAGATAAATCACAAATGTGTATGTACTTCCACACAGAAAGAGTAAATGTGACATTTTCTTTCATTTTTAACATGTATATAACCAGTCAGTCAAAACCAACGTGGTTGGCAAACTTCTAGATTGTTTTTTCAGTGTCTGACAGAAGTGACAGACTGATGGAGAGAGTTCACGACCTTCGGATGACGTCATCGGTTTGTGTTCTGGTCCTCCCTTGTGAACATCGCACCGTTCATCATGCGCTGTTGACATTTTTACAGCCTTGAATGCAAACCAACAAAAGATTTAGAGATTTTTTTCTGCAGTGAAGATTTGTTAAATCACGATGAGATGTTGGAGTTAAACTGAATGAAAACAACTTTTGGCTAAAACTTTATGATCATTGGAAACAGGAGAAGAGTAGGAGGAGCAGGTGTGCCTAAGGGGGTTGTTACTGCATCAGTGATGAATGAGTGTGAGGTTTTTGTAGTAAAGGGGCTGTGAAACAAAGCCATCGACCGCTGAACGTGCTGGTGGAGTGTATGGTGCTCGCTGCTGCGGCCCTCTTGGATACAGATGCTGTCTCCCTGCCGGCTGCCTCCAGCTGATGGCTCCTTCTCTCCATCTCCCGCCCTTCCCCCTTTTGCCTTCTCATGAAATTCTGCCCAGCTCCTTCGCTCAGGCTCCCTCTGCCCTGCTTCTCCTCAGACAGCTTACTTCATTTGCTCCCCATCTTCTTTGTTTTTATACCTTCCTCCTCCCTGCTCAGCTCAGGATTATGAAATTTTCAGTAGCGTTGCAGCAGTTTAGTCATGCGTTGCCAAGACCAGACTCTGCACACATGAAGCTGTTTAGCGGGTTGTATAAATGAAAACGTTGGAGGCTCGTTTTTGCTGGTTTCCACAGATTTGTGTGAAAGTTACTTTCGCTCGTGTGCATCTGTAGTGGGATTATTGCCTTCAAATTTTAGGAAGGTTTCAGCGCTTTTGAAAGTTTCGTTTTTCTCGGATTAATCGAATACTGCAGCACCGTCAACCATTTTCCCTGCTTCCTCCTCCTTGTTCCCGCCTCCTGACTCAGCTTCTGTGGGACCTCATGTTTTGAGGGTTTCCTTGTTGAAAGTGCCACAGCCTATATCACTTGTGCAAATGCACAGTTTCATTAAACTTTCACGCATTTTGCCATGTTTTATTCAAACAATTGCGAGGTTAACCCACAAAAAGTGTCTTTCTATGCTCGTGCTTGTTTTCTCCTGCTGTTGGTGGGAAGGACAGGACTGAGAGTGGGACAGCTAAAAAATCCCAGAAACATCCCGACAGTTCTGTTTCATTTTATTTCATCACCAGAATATGTGCAACATTGATAGATATAAGTGACACATTTGTTTTACACACAAAGTGATTTAATGATGTTTATATTCATTAACCCTTTATAACCTTTTCTTTTTTTCTCTCTCCACAGACCTTTATAGTGCTGAATAAAGGGAAGACAATCTTCCGTTTTAGTGCCACACCTGCCTTGTACTTCATAAGTCCTTTCAATCCGGTTAGGCGAATAGCTATTAAAATTTTGATACATTCATATCCTTTTAAAGTGATGCTGTTAACGGCAACTACAAGAGGGTTTCCTGTTCACGTGCATTATTCATGATGTTCTGTGTGCTCGCTCTGCTGCTGATGTTTCTAATGACTGCTGCAGCTGCAGGAGCGGATCCCTGTGCTGAAGTCTTCCTCACACATAACACCGTACAGGGCGCCGTGCAGTAGCCATTTTATTACTGAAGGAAATGGCTGGCACAAATGATGAGTCATCCTTTACAGTAAACCACGCTAGACCTCTTCAGTGTGCTCATTATCTGTGCAAGCCACCTGAGTGCTAAGACGAGTTGCTGTGGGCTGCTCCCCTCTTTGTTCCTAGAGTTATTAAAGACTCTGTAGCAGGAGGTAAATAGTTTTTTAGAGAACAAACAGCAGCTGATAGGAGCTAAATATACACAGTGTTGTTGTTGGTCAAACCTGCCAGATGACTGAGATAAATCTGGTAAAATCTCCTGTTACAACAAGGCTCGAAGAAATATCCACCTTATCATAATATTTATCTAGTCTAGAGCTGAATTTCTTTAACGATATCAAAGTTTTACACAAGTTGAATGATGTTTGGGTAAAATAATTCTTGTGGAAGTGAGCACACATGAAAAGTGGGGTTTTATAACTTTTATACACTCTAAAATACGAAATGTTGAATTTACATGACTAAGTTATGGTGCATTCCAGTTGTCCTCGGAACTAATTTTTCCGAGATAAGTTAGCCAGATATGACGCAATGAACTCGGAATTCTGAGCTGCGGGCTCGTAGGTTTCAGAGGACCCCGAGATCCCAAATTTAAAGATGGCTGCACCCAGTTCTACCAGGAAGTAGTTATCGTCTTTATATTTTTCTCACTTATATGTTCTGTTTTCTCTCTTTTTGCTATTTAAAATCACCGATAAGTTGTTTTTGTTGGTATCAATAGTTAAGGTGTTGAAAAATGTAACATTGCCACCAAAATGGACCGGTGTTTATGGATTTTACTTTTCCTGGCATTTATATTTTTACATTTTATTTGTAATGCTTTTCTGGTTGTATTTGGCAACTGTCGAAGGGCGTGTGTGTCACTGTTATTTAGATGCAAGAAAACTTGGTTACATAATTCTTTTGGTTTACTACTCAACAACACTGATGGCATCCATTTTTTCTGAGTTGGAAGCTGCAACGCAAAACAAGCCAGTCACGCCATTTCCTGCTCAGAAATTCCGTACACAATTAAATCAACTAGTTTCACTAAAACTAGTTGTGTAAAGCAACGATTACTGTTGGACAAAAAACATTATTACTTACAAGTCCAGTAGCAACAAAGCCAGGTCACAATCAGTCCGTGATTTTGTAGCCCCCTTTAGCTTCCTCAAACGAGTGTAGGCTGCGCTGGCGTTCATTCCGGTTTTAGCTTCACCTCCAGTGACATTCCTCTCTTCCTTTTACTTTCAGGCTCCACTGTTATGCCAACAAAACAAAATTCTTCTTCTTCTTGCAATTTTTATTGATGGTTGGTGAACTGAAAAAGCTAACAGCTAGCCTTTAAATTAGCTTTTGGAACAGTTAACAGCTATTACCAAAAAGCAGTGTTGTTAGCCAACACACAAAGATGTTAAGCGTGGTTTCTGGTCAGCAGGGGGCTCCAAAGTGCTGTCTAATGTGAAGTAGCTCAAGTTTCAGGCTCAAGAAACAGTAAAACCAGTTGAAAACAATAACTTCAAACAATTAGTTATCTCATGTACTGGTGAGCAGTAAAATGTGTTCTCAGCATTTGACCCATCCCCTAGTGGAGCAGTTAGCTGCAGACAGGGCTGCGCTTGGGAACTATTTGATGGTTTTAGGGTTACTTTAAATTAGGTAATACAGTTATTATATTAGTTAGTAATATACAGTGTATTTTATTTTACACTTTACATTTAATCATTTAAGTTTAGTGGAAACAATTGTCATTACTTGGTCAAATAAATTCAACATTTAATTTCTTAGAGTGTATGCTAACTTGATCAGAAACTGTACATTTGTGTGTTTTTATTTAGTTTCTTCATGAATCCTATTCTCCTTAACTCACTTCACTCTTTTCAGCATGATCATTATGTGTACTATTTTGACCAACTGTATATTCATGACGTTTAGTGATCCTCCCGAGTGGTCAAAACAAGTAGAGTGAGTACATTTTCAGTATTATTGCTCAGTATTACACTGTGTTTAAGGCATAACACTAGCATATTATTGTCTTTGACGTACATAACTGTTTTGTTGTCTTAAAAAAATATCAATAATAGCCTATATCTTGTTTAGAGATTTATTTGCAATAATTGTGTCATAAACAGTTGTAATAACTTTTATTTTTGCTTATAAAACTGTGTATTTTCTTGCTACATCAGCCACTGCTGTTGCAGTTGTTTTAAAAAAGAGCAAACTTGGATTCCTTTTTGAACATCTTAGGTGTGTTCTTGCTGTGTCTTTCTAAATCCATGCTTTCGTTCTTTTTTAAACACAGAAACAGTTTTGTTTACCTGTTTGTAGCTACAGTTTCGCCGACGGCTGCCGGCTTCTTCAGGCTGACACTGATGGTGGCGCGTCACTTCCTTCTCCGTTTATCTGCGGGCAGCAGAGGACGTTGTCGCCCTCTACTGCCTGCTCTCCCCTCTCCGACGATGCAGTCCCATGCGTGGTCCAGCGTGTAAACTCCGTCGTCCCTGTTCATGGTCCCACATCCACGTCTCCTTATCTCGATTGCTTCCTTGATCCATCTTTTGTATTTTTGTTGTTCGGTGGTTATGATCCGTGTGCTGTCCCAGTCCATTATATGGTTTTCTCTTAAGCAATGATCTGTTACGGCTGACATTTTTATTGTACTTTCTGCTTCTTCTTTTGATGCTCTTGTGTGTTTACGATTTGCCTCTTTCTCGCACTCCTTTCTGTGTTCTATTGTCCGTGTATTGAGTTGGCGTCCGGTTTCTCCTATGTATGTTTTATTGCATATTTTGCATGGGAGTCATCTACGAAATCCCATGCAAAATATGCAATAAAACATACATAGGAGAAACCGGACGCCAACTCAATACACGGACAATAGAACACAGAAAGGAGTGCGAGAAAGAGGCAAATCGTAAACACACAAGAGCATCAAAAGAAGAAGCAGAAAGTACAATAAAAAAGTCAGCCGTAACAGATCATTGCTTAAGAGAAAACCATATAATGGACTGGGACAGCACACGGATCATAACCACCGAACAACAAAAATACAAAAGATGGATCAAGGAAGCAATCGAGATAAGGAGAAGTGGATTTGGGACCATGAATAGGGACGACGGAGTTTACACGCTGGACCACGCATGGGGCTGCATCGTCGGAGAGGGGAGAGCGGGCAGTAGAGGGCGACAACGTCCTCTGCTGCCCGCAGATAAACGGAGAAGGAAGTGACGCGCCACCATCAGTGTCAGCCTGAAGAAGCCGGCAGCCGTCGGCGAAACTGTAGCTACAAACAGGTAAACAAAACTGTTTCTGTGTTTAAAAAAGAACGAAAGCATGAAACTTGGATTCCGTCCTGGGAAGTGATTTTGCAAACGCTTTTGTCTTTCAGGTACACGTTCACAGGAATTTATACATTTGAGTCTCTTGTAAAAATCACCGCTCGTGGATTCTGTATAGACAACTTTACATTCCTAAGAGATCCATGGAACTGGCTGGATTTCATGGTGATTTCGATGGCGTAAGTATTGTACTTGTGACCGTGAATACTGTTAATGAAATTGTGCCGTTTTAATAGCGAAAACGAGTAGAGAAGTTAACATTTCTGAGTTTTTCTTGTCTGTCTGATGACCCATCTTCCGCGTCTCCTCCACATATCTGACTTCTGTGATCTTTCTCTTTGGGAACTGAAGCCGGTCTCCATTCGGTATTTTGCTGACAGCCTGTCAATACCCACACTTCAGCTTCATTCATCAGAGTTATCCTCTCGCCATCCAACTGTCCTCAACTATCTCATGAAGGGCCTCCCATTTCCCCCTTTTCCCTTTGGATAGTTTATACCAGAGCTACCTGCCGCCATTGATGTAAAACACATTTCATCGATCAGTCACAAAGCCCACCTGTGTGTGAATTCGTATTTTCATCTTATCTCTGCATGTAAATAATGCGCTGTTGTAACTGTGGTTTGATCCTGCAGGTATATAACAGAGTTTGTAAACCTAGGCAATGTCTCAGCTCTGCGCACGTTCAGGGTGTTGAGGGCATTGAAAACAATTTCTGTAATTCCAGGTAAGACAGGATGGGGCGAAGGTTGGTGGGGGCGGGGTCGGTGTTAGGTGTGTGTGTCTTTCTTTCCTTTACCTTCCACCCTTCTCCTCAGTGGACAGGCTCTGTGAGTGGCGTCGTTTCCTCCTGGTTCGGTGGTGTTGTGCTCTTGGCGTGTGTGGTATTTGTCATCGTGTTTGTTCTGTGTGTGATCCTTCCCCTATTTCAGATATATAACAGAGTTTGTGGACCTGGGCAATGTATCTGCGCTGAGAACGTTCAGAGTTCTCCGAGCATTGAAAACTATCTCTGTCATTCCAGGTGAGACTCAGTTTAAACACTAAGGCTGATCCTCTCACCCTTTCATTTTCTACTCACTATTATTCTGATTAAAGTTATGATTTAAGCAGCAACGAAAAAAAATTGGAGACAGCCATTTTTTGATTTATTTTTCCTCCAAAAAAGATCAAAAATGGTACTGATACATTTTTGATAGGCTTTGCAGTCTCCTCTAAGGCTATCCAAAGTGTCTGCTCTCTCATTAAGGCTTGTCTCCAAGGCAGCTGTGTTTCTCTTAAGCGGAACCCTGATGAACAAGACTTGTAGGTCTTAGGATCACAAAACATTAAAAAGCAAGCGTTCTTTCCTAACTTCAAAACTTCGGACATGCTTAACATGAAAAAGATACTTTACACTCTAAAAAATTTTAATGTTGAATCTACTCAACCAAGTTATGTCAACTGGTTCCAGCTAGTTGCTTAAGTGTAAAGAGTAATATCCATTTTTATTCATTTTGTTAAATCTTACAAGCTTTCAAATGATAGTTTTCTCATTTGAATTTATATTTTTAATATTCTGTGACACATTGCTTTGCCGTCCTTCTTCATCATTTTTTCAGCTTTTTCATCAAATTTGGTATAAACACATTTAGCTCATTCAAAGCTTGCTGATAATGTTTATTTTGTATCGATATCTTTGATATTTTTCATGATGTCAAACTTTTTCTGTGAAAAAATTGCTAAAAATGTGTCCTAAAAAGTAGCGATAGTAGGCAAGTGGGCGTAGCCTAATCAGCATTCAAACAGCATTTCTGCAAGGAATGTAATTTAAGCAGGACTCTTTGCATTTAAGCAACATGGTTTAGTAGAATCAGTTGACATAACTTGGTGAAGTAAATTGTATATTTCATTTTTACAGCATAGTTTCCATTGAAAAGACAATTCGTAATCTTAAAGCTGCTTTATAATAGTCTGCATTTGTGTTATATCTGCAACTTTCTAAATTATAATTGCTTCAAGCAGCTAGCTTGACTCTCCTGCTGTCTATTGCAGGTCGATTAATCTAATTAACTCAGTCAGTTACTCAGTTATAGAGGTTGGACGTCTTCTGTTGCACAGACACAGCAGAGTTTACTCTGAACTCATCTTCAAACCTCTCTGATCAGCAAACTCTCCCCAGTGTTGTCTTTATCCATTACAATGCACTAAAGGTCAAACTGAGGCCAAATGAAGTTGGTTATTCTATAATGCGTTGTTGATGTAAGCAATACTAATGCACTAAGAGTTGAGTATTTTAAATCAGATGTTTATTAAACTAATACATCTAAACTATACGTCATGTTAAACAGGGTTCCGTTTAAGAATTAGCTTGACCCACTCTTTTTTACTAGCTTTCCTCACCAGCCCTTCTCTGTTGCAAGAAAATTCATTTGTACAGTTTTCTTAATGGACTAAAGACAGAAATACGTTTAGCAGAGATACATATTTGTCAAATTATAGATGTCCCACAGAAGAAAAACTAATGTGTTTAGCTATAACCTTTGATTATAAACTGATTTGGAATAAAAGTATTCCTGTTTACAGAAACAAAAACTAACCTGATGTTTTGTAGAATATGAGAAACTGCAGTTTTAAGAGAGATCCCACAGAATTCACTTATTCTAAACGTGTGAAGACTGCCAAGCCTAGTTTGTGAACATATCTCTTACGCTGCATGATGCTTTTCGGTCACTTGCTTCTCTAATATTAAGATTATCAAGAGCTTGGCTGATAAATGGCATTGAAAGTTTGATTTGCCCTCTTTTTGTTTTCAGTTCTGTTTTCCTTCTTTTATTGGAATGAAATATTACTCCAAAAGGTTACGACGTGTTTACCCAACAGAGGTTGGGGAAGAAGAGATGGTGGCACAGATGTTGTGATTAGCCAAAAAACAAACATGGCAAAAATGTCACTCAGACACTTTTAAAGTAATAGACAATTGTTGAGGAAAATGAGAGGGAGCCGATGAATCACCTTGAGAATGATGGTTTATTGTGTTAAATGTTGATGCCTCTTGTGTATTTGGATACAACTACTGCAAGCAGCTTAGCATAAAGACTTGAGACACTGTGCTGTCTTCTCACCAAAGATGTAGTATGGCCCAGATTATCAGCCTTTCTTTTTGGAGGGGCAGGAACAGGCTGTTTAAGAGGTGTTTTATTTTAGGAAGCAGAATGAAAAACATTATGGTAACGCTTCCTTTTATAGTACCCCAATTACTAAGTATTTACACGGTAATTACTCAGTAAGTTAAAGTGTATTATTGTGTAATTAAAGTGCATAATTGTAAAGTGTAATTATTGTGTAAAGCAGTATTTACTGGGAATGATTCATAAAAACAAAAATGAGAAATGAACCTGAGTTACATGGTAATAACTGTTTAAGAAATCAGAAACAATAATACACTTTAACTTACTATGTAATTACCATGTAAGTTCTTAGTAATTATTGGGGACTGTAAAAGGAAGCATTACCAATATTATTTCAATAGTACACAAGAGTTGCTGGCCTGTTAAACAGATTGTATTTATTTTTAAGTGTTGGTTTCAGCAAACAGTAAATATGACTAAGACAATGTTAGTGTAAGTGTGTGTTTTAAATATGGAAACTAAAGTAAATGTTTTAAAATGTTTAAAACTTGACAAAAGTTGTCTTAGAAACTGGTTACAGTTTCAGTCCTGGGCACACTCTCCTGCATCAAATGAAAACCTCCATCCCCACACAATAAAATCTAATGACTCAAACATGTGCTTAGGGGGTAGGGAGGAGGGGTATTCATATGTAGTTTCAGCTAGTTAAGAAACAATAGACAGCTACAATTTATAAGCTTGTCCCTCCCATGTTCCAGTCAGAATTGACAAAGCTAAATGTCTTCAAGAAACCAAAGAAGTACAGTTGCCTTCATTTGAACCCATGTGGATTATGCTGACAATATGCTTATGCTTATTATTACTATGCGATACAATACAAACATGCTTAAAAAGCTAAATAATTATGTGCAAAAAGAAAATGCTTGCCCACATATTTACTTTTATACATTTATGACATTTTAGTCAAGTTTTTGTAACAACTATGCCAGAAATGTAACTTCAGCAAAGGATTTTCCTTTAATGTCAGTTTCTGGAAATTATTTCAAGACCTTCTGTGTAGCTTTTAGTGACCCACAGTTGGGTCCCGACCCCAACTTTTGGGAACCACTGCTTAGGTTATGAAGTGCTTAATCATGGTTGATGTTTTGTCCTTATTTCCAGTCTTTATGCTAAGCTGGCCTGCTGCAGTATGTGTCAGGTACAACCTGTCTCCATACATGTAATAACAGATAGAGTTTACCAAAACAAAAGCAAATTGAATCATTTTCTCTCATTTCCAAAGAACAACATAATTTACGCTTTTTGCCTGGATCTCAGGACAAGATATATATGTTTTTTATTTTTCTTGACTAAATCAACTTTCTTCATGGGATCTTCTCATGTACATCACCAATCTAGATGAGCTTTGTTTGTTCTAACTGACCCTGCCAAGCTAAATGTGCTTTACTAACATAGCCTGCACATGTCAGCCTGAATTCCAAGTCTAATCTATAACAAAAGATTGCATGTGCCGCCGGTGAAGCCCCTAAAAGGCTGAACAGAAAAAGGGGTGCGGGTCATCTTGCATTCATATTCGAGTTCCTGTGGATCCGTGGGTCGAGGATGCCTGTTTAGAAGGTAAAGTTACTTTGTCTGTAGTGAAGCTGTAGGTCAGACAGACTGGGGAGTCAGTGAGTTCCTAATGATGGTTTGAGACAGTGCCTGCACCGGCACTAGCATTGGATTGCTCCTGTTCAGCCTTGGAGTTTAAATGACCTGCATGTGGTTCCCCCCCCCCCCCCTGCCTGTGCCTCTGCCCTGTCTCATGGCCCCTCGTTGTGCTGCTGTGCTCTCTTCCTTATGGATTTCCTTTCACTACTGTGCAGCCTTCCCCCTCTTTTCCCACTTTGTTCCTTATTGGCAGTGAAGACAATTTGAAATTTGAAATATTTCATGTGTCATCTAAAGAGAGAGTGGAAAGGCTCCTAAATATTTCTTGTTTGTTGTTTATTGAAATGTTCTCTGTGTATTCAGTTATTTTTGGTGCAAAACATATCATGTTCCTTATGCATAAATTGACCAATTTTGGCAGTTACATTTTTAATTCAGCATTTTACATTTTTGAAGAATGCAGTTACATTAATTAATAATTTATAACAATTAATTTAAACAGTTTTTCAAAAGTTGACAAAAATTTAAATAAACAACAAGAGTTAGATAAAAATACAACTTAATTCTCAGGAGTTTACAGGAGTTTCACCTTCATGGTTTGTGTATGTGTGTGTGTGCGTGTGTGTGTGCACGTGCGTGTGTGTGTGCGCGTGCGTGTGTGTGTGCGTGTGTTTGCTTGCGTGTGGGTGTGTGTGTGCGTGCTTGTGCATGCGTTTGTGTGTGCGTGCGTGTGCGCGTGTGTGTGTGCGTGTGTGTGTGCGTGTGTGTGTTTACGTGTGTTTGCGTGCGTGTGCGTGTGTGTGCGCGCGTGTGTGTGTGCGTGTGTGTGTGTGTGCGTGTGTGTGTGTTTGCATGTCTGTGTGTGGCTGATCTCCAGGCCTGAAGACCATCGTTGGCGCCCTGATCCAGTCTGTGAAGAAGCTCTCGGATGTGATGATCCTGACCGTCTTCTGCTTGAGCGTCTTTGCCCTGATTGGTCTCCAGCTCTTCATGGGCAACCTGCGCCAAAAGTGTGTGGTGTGGCCAATCAACCTCAACGAAACGTACCTGAACAACGGCAGCAAGGGCTTTGACTGGAATGAGTACATCAACAACGAAAGTAAGTTGAGGCGCGGTTGTGCCACTGGTGACCTGGTAGGGTTGTGGGAGGATGAGTCAGTCCGTATGCTGGAGTGAGAAAACAATATGTCGTTTTTGGTAAAAAAATGACTTGGATTGAAATGAAAACCTCTGAAATGAGCATGTGAGCAAAACTCCTATCAGGAGATTCAAAAAATAAACAAGTGCCACTGCGAGTGAGTGAAATGACTCATTTAGACTTTTTTCTTCAGCCAATTTCTACTTCCTGCCTGGCCAACTGGATGCTCTTCTCTGTGGGAACAGTTCAGACTCTGGGTAAGTTACCTCAAATGCTGCTTCTGACTGAACCTACCTGTTCATTTATCCACCTGTAGTCAGATTTATCTATATAATATTTTTGATCTCTCTCTCTCTCTCTCTCTCTCTCTCTCCTCTCTCTCTCTCTCTCTCTCTCTCTCTCTCTCTCTCTCTCTCTCTCTCTCTCTCTCTCTCTCTCTCTCTCTCTTCTCTCTCTCTCTCTCTCTCCTCTCTCTCTCTCTCTCTCTCTCTCTCTCTCTCTCTCTCTCTCTCTCTCTCTCTCTCTCTCTCTCTCTCTCTCTCTCTCTCTCTCTCTCTCTCTCTCATCTCTCTCTCTCTCTCTCTCTCTCTCTCTCTCTCTCCTCTCTCTCTCTCTCTCTCTCTCTCTCTCTCTCTCTCTCTCTCTCTCTCTCTCTCTCTCTCTCTCTCTCTCTCTCTCTCTCTCTCTCTCTCTCTCTCTCTCTCTCAGCAACTGCCCAGAGGGCTACACATGCATGAAAGCTGGGAGGAATCCAAACTACAACTACACCAGCTTTGACAGTTTTGGCTGGCCTTCCTGGCACTCTTCCGACTCATGACACAGGATTTCTGGGAAAACCTTTACATGCTGGTTAGACAGTTGTGATAACAGTTTGAGATTGCTTTTACAATTTGCATGAAAAAATAAATAAATGCACTGATTTTGTGACACATTCAAAGTAACGATTAAAGTGGGGATTTGTAGCTTTATTCTATAGAATGATCAAAAAATGGAAGTGAACCTGGAATATTTTTGTAACACTGTAGCCATTTTGTTGATTGTAGTTTAGTTTACTTTTGAAGTTGTTAATAAGCAGTAAATGCAGTATGCATGTATACAACAATCAAAATTTCAAGCCTGAATGTACAACAAATAGCAAATAATGCAAAAATCTGATGTTAGTTAGTAAATTATAACATTTCTACCAAAACTGATAAAAAATCAGTAGGTTTGGATATTTTAAAGCCATATTATGTAACTTTTTCATATTTTAAATAATTTTCTTGAGTTGGTATGTGCTAAAGTGACTCTATATAGGTTAATAAAATGTCACTCAGACCCCACCTCTGTGGCTGCACTTGCAACTTCAGAGTGCTGGTCCATTCCCTGTTGGATTTAGTAATGTGGAACTTACATGCCAGCACCGGAGTCTGCTTCCAGCACGTTTCCTGCATGTTTTAGATCATGAACACAGCTGATTTGTTTGATTTATTGATGAACCGCCCCGTAGACACTAATAAAGGCTGAGGAGACATTTCAGCATTTAGATTAAGGTGTTAAAAAGACGAAAGCACAGCGAGGAGATACAGAACACCAGAAAGTGCTAAAAGCAAGCCAGACTGCCTATTATTGCTTTAATGTTTTATATTTCATTCTGGATCCTTAAGTTCAAGGCATTGTTTACTAAAAAATAAAAGAAAAATAAAACCCATTAAAAATATGCTATTTCTTTCAGATAAATGGTTTAGTGTTCCTTGGATGCTCAGAAGTAAAACGCTGAGTCATTCTACTGATTTCACCAGGTTCACAAAGTCTGCGGTCTATTCTTTCTTAAACACATTCAGATTTATTTGTCTTTGCTATTAAATTTGGCCAAATTTGAGCTGCAATCATAACTGATGCTTGGGGTAAATTCACATTTCTGTCTGAGGAACTCTTGTTTGACTTTTAGATGGAAGAACAAACATCTCTGAGAGAGAAAACTTAAATAAACAAGCCTAGAATATTTATTGTCTTCATAAATCAGTGATAATTTTTTTTAATTAATCAAAACAAAACTATAGAAATGGATTCAGGTTGTAGGTTCCTAATTTAAATCATTTTTACTGTGTTTTAACATTCAGATCCTGAGAGTTGAGCAGTGATGTGTCAGACGACACATCTAATTTTTCTGACTCCTTGCAGACGCTGAGAGCAGCAGGGAAGACCTACATGATCTTCTTTGTCTTGGTGATCTTTGTGGGCTCGTTCTACTTGGTGAATCTGATTCTGGCTGTGGTCGCCATGGCGTATGAAGAGCAGAACCAAGCCACCATGGAAGAGGCTGCTCAAAAGGAGGAAGAGTTCAAGGCTATGCTGGAGCAGCTGAAGAAGCAGCAAGAAGAGCAGGTCGGTTAGAACTTTACTGGAAATCATTTTATCTGCTGAATTCTTTATTGTGTGGATGGATGGTTTGCTCACAACATGTGTTTGTTGATAGACTGCCCCCCCTGCAACCTCTGCTGGCACTGTGTCAGAAGATGCAGTAGAGGATGATGGAGGAGGGCGTCTGTCTGTCAGCTCCTCTGAGATGTCAAAGCTCAGCTCAAAGAGTGCCAAAGAGCGCCGCAACCGTAAAAAGAAGTGGCGCCAGAAGGAGCAGGAGAAGGAGAAGGGCGACAGCGAGAAGTTTGTCAAGTCAGAGTCGGATGACGGCAGCAAGAGGAGCCGCTTCCGTTTCCCTGACAATCGCCTGGGTCGAAAGTCTTCCATTATGAACCAGGTGAGACAAAAGGACTTTGTTGCATCGTGAAATCATACCACTCACCTACAAACTCCTATGTTAATGTCCAAACATTTACAACCATGAAAAAAATTACCTCAGACACTTGGGCGTTAATTTGAGAAAAAGTCAAACTAAAGTTTTATTCCAAATGAAATAGAAAATATTTGTTGTTTTAAAAACCTGCAGAGCTCAGTGAACATGATGCTTTGGGTTCTATTTGTTAGATTTCCTGCAGAAAGTAAAAGTAATCTTAGCCACTGTAGAAAAAGTCTGAAGTTAAGGTGTGTGATGCTTGGTGTTGACTGTTATAATTAGGGATAGTTTCATCTCTATTAATAGGACACAGATGGCAGGAAACCATTTGGCAGCAGGGGTGGTGTTTGTATGTTTTCGGGCAGCTAAATGTAGAAAATCTCACTTCTAGAGACGATAGTGAACATAGATATAGACGAACATGTCTAGGTTCTGGACTATTCACCTCAAAGAAATAAATGTTTCAAAGGGAACACTTCTGCTGCCCCGTTTGTGTCTCACTCCTCTAATATTGTGTTTTATGGATTTGGATCATTTTATTCATTTCTGAGGAGCATTCAAGGCTGAACCTTCCTCCTAAACATTTCTATCATCCTTCTCTCCCTCAGTCCCTTCTCAGCATTCCTGGTTCGCCCTTCCTCTCCCGCCACAACAGCAAAAGCAGCATCTTTAGTTTCAAGGGCCGCAGTAAGGACATGGGCTCTGAGACGGAATTTGCTGATGACGAGCACAGTACGGTGGAGGAGTGCGAGGAGCGGCGCGGCTCCCTCTTCAGCCCCTACCGGCGGAACAGCTACACCGGCTTCCACGGCAAGAGGAACAGCACCGTGGATTGCAATGGAGTGGTGTCACTCATCGGCCCCGGGCCCGGTGGACGCCTTCTGCCTGAGGTGAAAATAGATAAGGCAGCTTCTGACGACAGTGTAAGGAAGTCAATGAGTAGACCTATCTAGGCATGGCCCCCCTCTCGTCCGTTACGTTTCTTTCCGGCTCTGTTTCTTCAACTCTGTCATCTTTGCAAGTTCGTATGTATCTCTTGGCTAAGCGCTCGTGCCTCCCCTCCCCCAGCCCCCCTACAGTGTATGCTGCCCTCTGACAATAGGCAAAGAATGGAGAAATATAACATCATTACTGTGATTATACCACATACCCAACGATGCTATTAAGTGTTAGCGAAACTGGGTCTGTCAATGACTTCCAGTCAGTTGTGTTGCTTGAATTTGAGAAATGAATGTTTTTGAATATATTCTGATCAAACTGAATCAGACATTAATCATCTTCTTCACGATACATTTTGACACTTTGATCACATTTTAGTTAAAATTGAACAAATTTTTTTAATGCACAGAATGGCATCAGGTTTCTGTTTGTTAGCAAAAACCACATAATAACGTGTTAACGTGCTTCAGTGTGTTGATGTGTTCCTCCAGGCATCCAGGTCCTCTGCTGTGTGTGGGTAGATCTACAGTAAGAGGCGGAGGACATGGGGGACCAGCACTGTAGAGCTAAAGACCATTTTTATCTGCTTCCCTAGCTTTTTCTATACTATTCCAGAGCAGATACACACATAGCACACACTTAAACCATCCTCATAGGTTTTCATAAAAAATCTACTCTAAGAAACAGTGGAGGGCTGCTGTCCTTGTTTGTCTTTACCTTTCTCTGTTTTCCAAACTCTCCCTGGTCAACAGTAGAAACTTAGTTGGGTCTCATTCTAGTTAGCATGGTAGAATTAGACGTCAATTAGAAAAAAGAAGCATGATATACGTAGATGCATAGACACATGGCAATGCTAGCTGTAAGTTTCCTCTCCTCTTTGACTTGGAGCATGCTCGTGCATGACAACTGGACTGATCTGAACCTTCTGCCTTCATCTGATCTCTTGATTTAATGGTTGCAATATAAGTTATATGTTTTCAAAGTAAGAATCTTAATTAGCATATAATTTCAAGTGACATGGAAATGACCAGAATTGGGAGACACTTTTAAAGAGAAACAAATCTATATATAACATAGTGATTATATTGCAATGGCAGCAAAGCCTCCATTATTGCATGACATGACTGAAAATGCAATCATGCAGAAGTGGTTCTCTCTGCACCAAATCTCACATTTACTCTCTAATTGGTCTGAGCAATTATATTCAAACATAATTAGGTCAAGTAGCCCACTGCTCCCTCTATGGCTGAGACCTGCATGGATTTACAGCACACACACATTTTCTTTGAAACCAGCATTCAGATAGAAAAGGTTGAAACAAGCTCAGCCTCAAATCAGATCTTTTAACTATTTTTTCCTACCAATGCTGCTGTGCACTTCCCTCCGCCGGCCACCGGTGGTGATGTGGGATGGGGTTCATGTCCTCTCCATGGGTGCTTGATTCTTCCTCTCCTCCTGACAGCCAACTACTGAGGTTGAGGTGAAGAAGAAGCTGTCGGGCTCCCTGATGGTGTCTGTGGACCAGCTCAATACCTCCTTTGGGCGGAAAGAGCGGGCCAACAGTGTCATGAGCGCCATTACCAACACACTAGCGGAGGGTACTGCCACTTTAACCCAGCTATTTAACCTGCTCTTTCTCATTGTTCTTTAACTAGGGCTGCACTCGGTTGACTACTTTGACATGGATTTCCTGCTTATCTGCTTTGCAAATCAAACAGTACCAGATACATACAATGCATACAATTTTTACATCATATTATACCATTGCATGGATGCAGTATGCTCTAGCATGTACTTATGCTTGGTTTTAATATATGATCCGCGCTATGTCTTCAGAACTGGAGGAGTCTCAGCGCAAGTGTCCACCGTGCTGGTATAAGTTTTCTAACACATTCCTGATTTGGGAATGCTCCCCTGTATGGATTAAGATCAAGGAGATTGTAAACCTGATAGTCATGGATCCCTTCGTGGACTTGGCCATCACTATCTGTATCGTCCTCAACACCCTTTTCATGGCCATGGAGCACTATCCTATGACGTCTGACTTTGAGGACATGCTATCTGTAGGAAATCTGGTGAGTAGCAATGTTCATGCTTTTTAAAAACCTTTTTATCTGTTTCACCCATAAAAAGTCTTTTCAATGTCTTCTCAGCAGCTCATAGAGTTGCTATTTTTGGACCATAATTGGCAGCATCTTTCATTATCTATTCAGAGTTGAAAGAGAAGAAGGGGGAGGACAAAAAATCTGTCTTAGACCACCTGCAGTTTCTGTGGATTTTTCTGTTGTTCACATGCGTGCATGTATTTTTTGTATTCTGCTTCATGCAAATAGCAGATGTTTACTGCAGTGAGACCAGGCTTGTCTTTATGCTGGTTGGCTGACCGGTGGGAGGTCTGCATTAACATTTCATGGAGCCTGATTGATGAGTTGTACTAAAATGGTTTCCAAATCATGGCTCAGATAACTTGGCTATCAGTCTTTTCTTTGGTCTTATGAGCAACTGGCACTGTGATTTCAGCTTATTAACAGTGGAGCAAAAGGTTTTTGGCAGCAACTTATTGTGCAACTTGTCCCACTTAAAACGATGAGAGAAGTCTGTAATTTTCATTATAGGTACACTTCAACTGTGAGAAACAGAATGCACAGGAAATCACAATGAATGACTTTTTAATAAAGTTATTTGTATAATGATGCAGAAAATTAAGTATTTAGCACTTTTAAACAAGCAAGAAATCTGACCCTCACAGACCTGTTAGAAGCTTATCTAGCCTTCATTCATTATTTGTATCAATGGCACCTGCTTGAACTCATTATCTGCATAAAATAATAATAATAATAATCAATTTCCCTCTGGGATTAATAAAGTATTTTTGAATTGAATTAAAAGACGCCTGTTCACACCAAGTCAGACTCCAACCTCCACCATGACTAAAACCAAAGATCTGTCTAAGGACACCAGGGATAAGACTGTGCACCTGCACAAGGCTGGGGTGAGCCAATCTTCAAAAGCCAAGCAGATTAGTGAGAAGAGATCAACTGTCAGAGCAATTATTAGAAAAATTACAATTAGCCATGCCGCTGCAGTCACGCTAATGGGACTCGTATATCTTGGCATGAGTCCAGAAGGAGTGGTATGGTTCCAGATGGATATATAGTTGGAATATGCAGATCATTTTTTTGTTTCAGTTAGGGTTAGAGAAAAAACATAAGAAACTGCTTTGACAACTGCCTAGAACGAAAACAAGGAGAAACTAACAAAAGAATGAAAACAAACAAAAATCATCAACCAACAATCCATGCTCAGCAATGACAATGTTCTTGATAGTACAATATTGTAAATGGTAGCCACAGACCAGTTAGGTGCGTGTTGTGAACACCTGTGTCCACAAGCGCACGTGTGTGTATGAGGTTGTGTGAAGGATCCCATGCTCGGCCTTCCCTGAGAACGATTAGACCAAAGATCCCCGGGTCCTCCCTATTGGATAGGGATGCCAGGAGGATCACCACAGGTAGGGCCATGGACCTTATCTAACAAGAGCTGCAGGGAGCTGTCCAGCAGCTACAGCACAGAAACCTCAGGGGATGCAGCAACGATCCAACAGAATTTGCCTGCAGCCGTCTATCCCTGAGCAGACTGGGATATGGATCTAGAGACTTAAGGCCCCAGGGAAACACACCCCTCTCAGGAACCCAACCAGGCCAGGAGGCAGACCCCATCAAGCACCTTCTGGAAAAGAGCCAGGGCACACCCCAGCACTCAGCCCTGAACACCAAGAGCCACCAGTGCACCAGCTGGCAGGGGTCCTAGATTCTGATAGGGTGTTTGGTAGGACCAGAGAACACATTCTCACACCCTAAGCGTCGAAAAGTGACGCGGTGTGACCAAGCTTTTGTTTCTGACATGCAGGGGCTCCCTACGCGTCGGGAGGCAACACGCTGTGCCAGAGCACGCCCACGGTAAAACGGAGATTTCACTGACATTTCACCTCTAACCTCTAGCGATTTATCCTTCCCCTCACCCCCATCCTAACCTTAACCCTGTATGTCAGTGCAAAATTTCCGTTAAGTGTGTTTGAGAGGAACGATGAAACGCAAAACAAAGCTTTACATGTGCAAGCTGGTTAAGGTTAGGATGGGGGTGAGGGGAAGGTTAGATAGCAAGAGGGTAAAGGTCACAATTCGGTCAAATGTCCTTTTTACCGCTGGCGCTGGATACCGATGCTCTAGCACAGCGTGTCTCCTTCCAACACGCATGGGCTCCCTACGCGTCGGAAACAAACGCTTGGTCACACCGCTTCATTTTTCGATGCTTAGGGTGTAAGAATGCGTTGAAAAAAGATGCCTGGCCTCAATCTTCCTGCTCAGATGTACGGATGATGTATGATGTTCTAAAGTGAATTTAAAACATTGATGTGAATGTTGCTCACACCCCTCTGCCAAGTGACAGCTGGTGTCAACATGGCCCCACCCAAAGCCCTCAATGTCTACGTGTAATTTAAAATAGATGATTGTTCACCGGTACCTGAGAAGAGGCTGGATGGCCAGCATCCCCCACTGAGTATTGTTCCAAGTTGCCACCCCCAAAGCCCTGCATGTGTGTCAAACGAAAACAGTGAGTGTCAATCAATCAATCAATCAATCAATCAATCAATCAATCAATCAATCAATCAATCAATCAATCAATCAATCAATCATTCAATCAGTCAGTCAATCAATCAATCAATCAATCAATCAATCAAGTTTTATTTATATAGCGCTTTTCACCACCCTCAAAGGGGGCCTCAAGGCGCTGGACAAGAAAAAAGTAGCAAGTCATAAAAACATTAAAAACAAAATAAGAACATAGACATTTGTAAGAAAAATAAAATGCCAATGAGATTAAATTTAGATAAAAGAAAATTAAAATTAAGTAGTTAAAAGAAAGCTAAGAACAAAAAAATAAATATATAAAAACCAGAAACCAAAAGCATTAGGAGAAAGCCATCCTATAAAAATGAGTCTTCAACCTGCTCTTAAAGACTGCCAGTGATGGGGACTGTTTGATTGTGAGTGGGAGCTGGTTCCAAAGAGAGGGTACAAGGACTTGAAATGCCCAATCACCACGAGTCTTAAATCGGGTACGAAGTACAATAAGCAGTTTCTAGTCAGCCGACCGTAATGACCTACAGGGAACATGCTTTATTAAGAGCTCCGCTAAGTAGGTGGGGGCACTGCTTTAAAAAACTTAAACAAAAAAAGCTGAATTTTAAACTGTTTCCTGTATGAGACTGGGAGCCAGTGAAGAGAGACCAGCACTGGAGAAATGTGGTCCCTTTTCCTAGTTCCAGTCAAAAACCTAGCAGCACTGTTCTGCACTAATGGCAGGCGATGCACAAGAGTGTCTATTTTTCCAAATTAAAATTAGGACGCGGGCAACCATGACGGCACAGAAAAGAGGCATCCTCCCTGCACCCCAGTGATGAACCTCTATCCCACAGTCCTATGTATGTGAAAATCAGTCTTCTGATGGAGCAGTAAGAGTGAAGCTACAAGGATGGGGAGAAAAGGAGCAGAGGCCAGCTCTCCAACTTACTGGTACCCTACTAGGCACCCCCATTTTCCAAAGTTCACCGAGTCAGGACCCCTTCCCAGTTAAGGAAACATGGCCCTAGACCTCAATCCAATAGAGAACCTGTTGAAAGAGTTGAATCCGTGTTACTCAGCGACACCCCCAAAACATCACAGTTCTGGAGAAGATCTGCATAAAAGAATGGGCAGTCTGGTGACAGGAAACATGTGACCTCTGCCATTACCGGTCAAGGTTACATTACAAAGAATTGAGGTGAACTTTTGTTCTACAAATTAATTTTATAAAAGTCAAGCAATGTGATTGTCTGGAATTGTTTGACATTCTGTCTCTCACAGTTGTACCTATAATCACAGATCTTTGCTCCATCGGTTGCTATCAAATACTTTTTTTGCCCCGCCGCAGTATTTCGACTACCCAAAAGTAAATTTCATAGAAAACTTTTCTCAACTCCATGACTGATGGGTTGTGCTTAGTTATTATTTTGCATTTGTTTGGACACAGCTGAAACACATCATCTCAGGTTTCAGACAAACGACACATACCCTGATTTTAGGCTTAGATCTTTTAGAAGCACAAAATGAAACTGAACTTTAACAGGAAGATTGTTAAGATTGCATATTTGGATAGTTAGGGTTTCCTGTTTATGTTCTTTGCAAATCAACCAGTCACAGGTAAAAACAATGCTTACTGTTTAGAGTGTTGAATTAAACCAGTACATCATATTTGAACAGTTGTCTTGGATCTGATACATGAAAAATACAAAATCCTAAAGTAAACAGAAACTTGATGAAGGGTGAGGGTACTTGCTAAAAACGAGTTAGGCTATCTTTTAACAATTTAGGGAAATAAATGAACATTTTAATATAAAAGTTTGTTTTCTACTGTTAAACTCGTCGTTAGTCTGCTCAAAGATTCTCTCCATCCTGACAGGTGTTCACAGGGATCTTTGCAGGAGAGATGCTTTTCAAGCTTGTGGCTATGGATCCATACTACTACTTCCAGGAGGCCTGGAACTGCTTCGATGGATTCATCGTGACTCTGAGTTTAGTGGAGCTGGCTCTGGCTGACGTTGAAGGCCTCTCTGTGCTGCGGTCCTTCCGATTGGTAAAAACTCATAGAGAAAGTCACAAAAATGAGGCACTTCAGAGGGTTGTGATGGCATTTTTGGTGATAATTAATTCCCGTCTTCCTTCTTTTTCTTCCTGTCTTACCTCAGCTGAGGGTGTTTAAGCTAGCCAAGTCCTGGCCCACTCTCAACATGCTGATCAAGATCATTGGTAACTCTGTAGGAGCCTTGGGAAACTTGACTCTGGTGCTGGCCATCATCGTTTTCATCTTCGCCGTGGTGGGCATGCAGCTGTTTGGAAAGAGCTACAAGGACTGTGTGTGTAAGATCGCTGCCGACTGTGAGCTTCCCCGCTGGCACATGAACGACTTCTTCCATTCGTTTCTCATCGTCTTCCGGGTGCTGTGTGGTGAGTGGATTGAGACCATGTGGGACTGCATGGAGGTGGCAGGCCAGGCAATGTGCCTCATCGTTTTCATGATGGTCATGGTCATTGGTAACTTGGTGGTGAGCGTCCAAACTTGCAGGATTTTTTAAAGAAGGGGTTAAATTTAGAAAAAGTTCATTGAGTTGATTTCTACTTTGTCTTTTAAGGTGTTGAACTTGTTCCTTGCCTTGCTGCTGAGCTCATTCAGCGCCGACAACTTGGCTGCAACAGATGACGACGGTGAACCCAACAATCTGCAGATTTCTGTCATGCGCATCAAGAAAGGCATTGCATGGTTTAAAGCAAAAATGCGAATTCTGGTGGCGAGTCTACTGAGGAAACCACCAATGGAGGATGAGCAAAAGCCTCTGGATGACATGTACGACAAGAAGGTGAACTACATCGGTAATCACACGGGGGTGGACATCAACCGTGACCTGGATTACGCCAAGAACGGTAATGGCACCACCAGTGGAATCGGCAGCAGTGTGGGCAAGTATATGATCGACGAGGACCACATGTCGTTCATCCACAACCCCAATCTGACGGTGTGCGTGCCTATAGCCGTGGGAGAGTCTGACTTTGAGAACCTCAACACAGAGGACTTCAGCAGTGAGTCAGACATTGAAAACAGCAAAGAGGTCAGTTAACAGTAATTGTCTTCATCTGCTTAAAAAACAATACATTCCCCTTTTATGTCAGACATCAACCAGTAAATGAAGATCCTGCATTCATGTTGCTTAAACTCTTTTGCTGCTTCGAACTGTGTGAGAAGAGTAAGTTCATGGGTGTGGCTGTGGGCACTCTGCTCTGCTCAGACTCTAATGTAACTCCATTACTCAGTAAAAACATCCGGAGTGGCTCTAACGGACAGACAATGTGGAAGAACAAATGCCCTCTGACATTGGTGTTCTCTTTAAATGCATTTAGACGACTTTCAAAGCCAATGCTCGGCTATTTGAAATTCCATTCAAGTGTTTGTGTGGATGATATGTGATGCTCATGACGGATGGGAAGCTCAGTACTTAAAGTCCAAGTTCGCAGAAAAAACATTTTTTACTTTTAATTTTTGAAGCTTTAATTTACACTAGAGACCACTGCAAATGTACTGAAAAAATTTGCTTTGTGAGCTCCACTTTTATTTCCTGTGATGAAAACTGAAATGTTCTCATGTATCTGAGCTCATGTACTGCTGCCACGTTTGCATGTTTATTTGTGTTTGTCCACATCTGCACTGAGAATATCTATTTCTCCTGCAGCTGGACGACACCAGCTCTTCGGAGGGTAGCACCATCGACATCAAACCAGACGTAGAGGAGGTGGTGGTGGTGGAGACGGTGGAGGAATACATGGAGCCAGAGCCATGTTGGACAGATGGTGAGGCTGTTGCTTCTACTGAACCCATTACCTCCACTCCACAGCACGTAGACTCCTCCCAGGCAGGGTGAAGGAGAATTTCATTATGAGGAATCAGTCAGTCCATGGAAACTATTTATCAGTCTGTATTTCCATAAGATATCTCAGCACAGTTCAGAAAAGCATTTGTGGATACAGATTTTTATCTATGAGACTGTAATAAATACACCTTTAGTTTCATGTCAAATTCTAAAAGGTACAATGTGAACGGCATGCTTAGGTTTATTTGAGCACCCAGATGAAAACATTAGGCTGGATTTTGTAGATAATATGTGATTTTGTCTCTTTTCCTGTGTGTCCTCAGCCTGTGTGGCCAAGTATAAATGCTGTGATGTGGATATCACGCTGGGCTGGGGGAAGAGCTGGTGGTTCCTCAGGAAAACCTGCTACCTGATAGTGGAACACAACTGGTTTGAGACCCTCATCATCTTCATGATCCTCCTCAGTAGTGGTGCCTTGGTAAGAAAGGCATTTACATTCTCTGGACGTACTTTGTGCTGCCTAATTCTCCTGCTGTCTTGTCTTTGACTGTTGCCGTTTCTCTGCAGGCTTTTGAGGACGTGTACATTGAGAAGAAGAAGACCATTCGGATCATTTTGGAGTACGCCGACAGGGTTTTCACCTACATCTTCATCCTGGAGATGTTGCTAAAGTGGGTTGCCTATGGCTTTGTCAAGTATTTCACCAATGCTTGGTGTTGGCTGGACTTCTTCATTGTGGATGTAAGTCAAGCTCCATATTTGTTGATGTGTAAACAGTTTGAGTTGTTCATTGGTCCTCAACCACACCCTGGTCCAAAAACTGCATTCCCACAGACTTCTGATGAAGGAGCTAAAGCTAATCTACACAAATCATTAACATGTTGTTGTAAATCAGGGTAAATTTGGTTCAGTGTTGTCCACTGGGTGTGGTTAGGCTTAAAAAGTGAAAAATGAATGAAGTTGACTTGCATCAGGTGAGAGGATGTGTTGTTTTGAAAAGAAGTGATTTTGTTTATTTACTCCTCCCATACGGACAGTGTTTTACAAGGCTTTACTGCAGTCTGTCCACATAAACACACATACCTCCATCACCTTTTACAGCTCCTTCCTGCAAAACGTCTTAAATCACTCTGAGGTGCTTGAATATGTTCATTGTTCTTCTGCATCAGTGCCTAAAACTATACTAAAATAATCTGTTCACCAATTTCAATGTTTATTTCTATTGTTTAGAATTTTTTTCCTTACAATCAAATTAGGTAACAAAACTGGATACGATTTGCCTCCAAATGACAACAAATTAGATCCAGCCTGTCTAGAACTTGTATCAATTAAAAGTCCATATTCAAGTCATGTTCAGAGAAATGTCAGAGAAGTGTTCCTGTAGAGCTGTCTCTTCCTGTGAGATGTTTGATGCGTGTCCTCTCTCTCTGTGTACTTGCTCTGCTTCATGTGTCAGTCAAGACTGAAAGTCCAGAACCGGAGCTCTTGTTTCTATCCTCCGGCAGCCTCGCGCTAACCTTCCCATAGATTTCAGATTGGATTAAAAAACCCTAACCCCAGCCCGGTTGTAGATTGGAATAATCGGGCTGTTTTAAAGTGCATAAATTTAACTTACAAGCTGATTAGGCTTGGTGTGTGCAAGGTAGCCCAAATGGATAGAATAAGAATGGAATTCTGACTTTGGCCTTGAACTAACCACCTCTCCACAGTGTTCAACACCTCAACCAATTCCTGTGAATGGACTCCTCTCAATGGTCTGAAGTTTCCATGCGGGTTTATTTTAATCTCCTCAGTCCCTCCCCCATTCAACAAACACGCATGCAGTGTTAGATAGAAAATGTTCATTCAGCTTAGCTGTTATACACACCACCAGCTAATGGTAATTATTGGTGATTATGGTAATAACCGTAACTATTCTGAACTGGTAAAGAGTTTGTATCGATCAGAGTGAAATCCCAGTGATCTGATTCTGGTTATTCCCACTGCAGACTCCCCTCCCATGTGTTGTCTGTCTCCAAACACTTGGGGCAATGGGGGGTGTCATGTTTCCCAGCTTGTGAACAGATTATAACAAGTGACGTCCCGTCTCCCCCTTTGCACTCGTCCCTCCTGTCATTCCCTCTCGGAAGTGTAACTTCAGGAATGTGGTGATGTTGTGCTGAGATGTAATGATGGTGGGTGACAGGCAGCTGGCGGTAAGTGTGGTCTTCACTAGCTCACCCCTCAAAAGAATATCAAATTCTGCTTGATGAGTCTGGGCCGTGTTGTAGCCTGACTGTGCCTTTGCTGTCCTGTGTTGTGCGGTGAACACATTGCCGTCATTGACTCAGAAAGGAAGGGGGCACCATCATTAAACCGGCCTGTGTTTTTCTACGTGTGAATCTTTTTCCTCATTATTTCCCTTTGTTTGTGTCTTTATGTTTTCCATTTTATTTATGTTATTCAGATTTTTACCATAATTTTCTTTAACATCAGGGAGGTTGAGCACAATGCTAAGATGGCAGCTATTTCCAGAAAAATGAAGCATCTTTTCATTGCTGAGCATCATTTTTGTGGTAAAAGTTTTTAGACATTATTAGTGATTAGTTTGAGTGGACTTTTGTGAAAAAATATAGAAATTTTCCCAACTTGGAGAAACGGGCATTCATTCTGGTTGAACAGATGAGCTAACAGCTAGGCATTGTGAGGTCAGATACAAAATGAAGTCCTGCCAACTTAAAACAAGCTTATAAAAAAAAAAGACAGAGTGGTAAATGTGAAGCTGACCCAGCCTTTCTGTGGTACACAGCTACTGGCTACCATCATATTCTACCGGATGTGAAGTGTCTCATCTTGGACGCGTCGCTGAAGCGTAGCGCGTATCTATGAGTTCATTTTTTAGGCACTTCACTTACAGAATGCGTCAAGTTCAGCAGTTTAAATTACGTTAGACAGGAAGTCAAACATGAAAGCAGTGTAAAACATCTGGCAACTTTCAAAATAAAAGACACATGCAGATTTTCAGTTGATTAACTTGTAGAAAAGTACATCATTATTGGTGAAACTTCTTTGGCCGAAGTAAACAGAACAGAAAGTGAACCAGAACCTTTTGAAAACATGTTTCCTTCTTTCTCCTTACTTATTATCGTGTGAACAGCTAAAATCACGTGTGATCTTGAAATTCTCTGGTAATTTCGTGACCTCACAGGACCAGCTGTGTAGAAGCACCTTTGCTGCTGATTTACATCTGAAATGTCCCTGGAGGGAAGGGGTGCGCCGCTAGGCCTGCTGGGACAATGCATCTATTACGTTAGGCATCTGGTAGAAAGCCAGAGTTACCTCAACAAAAATATTGTCCAATCAGAAATAATCTCTGTTTCTCTAAACTGAAGCAGGTAAGATATTTTTTTCCTGCCGTTTCCATAGAACCCCATGTTAAAAGATCTGAGTCGTCCCTTTTAAAATGAAACATTTAGGGTTTGTTTGTGTTAGACTGATAGGTGCCACAATTCATTCGTCTTTCTTTTTTATCATTGTTTTGCATTGTTGTGTTATTTTTTTGTTTTATTTTTGTTTGCTTTGTGCTGTCGTCGTCATGGGATCACAGCTCCAGATGTCACTGGCCTTGACTTGCAGAGCTCTCTGAGAAGAACGTTGAGACGTCGCGCCACCACACTGCTGGCCCAGCAAAGGGGGGGCTGAGCCCAGGCACCCCAAAGGGGGGCTATCCAAGTGGGTCAGGCTGAAGGTGACAATTACCCCAAACACAGTAGTGTAGATAAAGGCAAAATCATTATTTTACTGTGTACTCATCAGAGTGGCTGCTTATGTGTTTACAAAGCAGAGTTATTGATTTAAAAGCTGCTGAGTAATTGCTTTGAGCAGAGTCGATAAAATCCAAACGAGGACCACATCTAGATGACGTGGGCTTGATTTTTTACAAGAGGGAAGAAAGATAATCCCTTTTGAGATTTAATTGAAACATTTTTATATTTTCTGATCACTTCACCAGTGAAAATGAAGGTTTTGCCTATTAAAACTTCCCTCCGTGACTTTGATAAGCTTTGGATGTTGTGCACTTCTTGCGGTGAGTTTGACCAGTTGGTGTCGGTGGCTGGTTGGAGGTGCTTTCACACGTGTTTACCGTTGATATTTTTCCTTATTTGTAAGGAACTGGGGCTTCCCCTTTTATCAGTAGCTCCAGCATTCAGATCAAGAAATTGGAACAAAATTTATCACAGAGTCTTGTAAGTTTCTTTCTTCATTTCACATTTTGAATTTAGCATAATGTGCATCCACCAAAAGACTCCATCTTTAAAATGCTGTAATGGGATTCTTAGGGTGACCTCTCCAGGGTCCAGCAGTTATCATTACCCCTCAAAGAACATTAGTCCAGCTAATGGACCACATTTCCCATTTGTCTATTTCCTTTTTGCTCAACAGTGCAATGATGTTTGCATGGCTGGTCTAAATCGGTTATTTAGCTCCAAACCACTACTTTGGCCACAGTAGCTACTGTTCTTACTGATATCTTTCAAAGTTTCCAACATTTATTCTGAAGAGATACATAGATGCCCAGTTTTGACATAATTAGACGATTTATTGAGCATGTAAACTAACATTTAAGTTGTCTTTTGGGTTTGTCGCTGCTGGATAGGATAAGGGGCTGCACCAGTTTCTTTAAGGTTATGTGCCGTTATTGTCAACTGTGCGTAACTTGACTGTACTCTGTGTTCTTTTGTCCTTTCAGTGCCATCAAGTGCTAATAACTATATCAGGTGTGCCCTTAACCTCCATCCCTGTTTTTCTTTTTTTACGTGTGTGTGTGTGTGTGTGTGTGTGTGTGTGTGTTTGGTTCCTGTGACTGTGGCTCTCCTGACTGACTCTAAATGCTGTTGATTCTGTTGTCTTATAAGAGAAAAAAAAGGCAAAAATGACACTCTTGTACATGTTTACCTGTATTCTTTCTCTTAGGTTCCATTAGTTTCTCTGTCTTAAATGTAATGGGAATTTATGCCTCAGCCCAAGAGCGACAAGGAGAGACAATGTTAGAGGGGCAAGGGTAAGGCTCTCAAGTCTGTTGGGTTTTTATCAGCTTCCACAGGGCAGCCTCTCTCCTTACCCCCTTCCTAAATGCTCCCCCTCTGCTCTTCCAGTCCTTCCACTTGTATCTTAACCATGTAGCACTATTCTCTTCCCCAATTTACCCTTTATTTGAGTTTTATGTCTTTATCTCCTCTCTCTCTCTTTCTCAACTACAAGTTTCTTTGCAGGTACAAAGGACTTTTAACATCTCGTCAACTGCCCCAAAATAACAGCCAAAAAACCCTCATGGCCTACTGCAACTAAAAAATACTTCACGCACAAAACCAGTACTAAACACTGACCTTCTCTCTCAGTGTGTATATACATGTATAAATCCAATGTTATATATGCATATACATGCAAAGATTTATGTGTGTATGTCAAGCAACTCTCCGCCTACACCAGGGCCGTCTCTCTTCCCTAGTGAATATTCTCACTTCTAACAGTTTGGAACCTCTTTTGCTTCTCTGTTTTTGTGTAGGTGTCTATAGTCAGCCTTGTAGCTAATGCGCTGGGCTACTCCGATCTAGGGCCCATTAAATCACTCAGGACACTAAGGGCCTTGAGACCCCTCAGAGCCTTGTCACGTTTTGAAGGGATGAGGGTAAGATCCAAAGCTAAGCAGCTGATCCTTCCGCATGCCCATTCAACAGTTTAAAGCATGCTGATCTACAACAAAAAAGCAAACTAAGAGGACAAAAAACCTGATTTTAAACCAGGAAATGAGAGCTAAAAGCCAACTTTCCATGCGCAGTCCTGTGCCATGCCTTTGTTAGAGCGAAGGAATAAGTCATGATGCAGCTGGGAGACTCAGTAAAGTAATAGTAAAGTTTACTGCTCGCATATTAACAAATATTTCAATTGAACTTTCAATTTTTTTTATAAAAGTGATTTGAAAACAAAAGTACCTTTTTTTAATAAATAAAGCTGCCTCATCACATAAAAGACAAACTACAAGTGCTGATGACTTTATTTTTACTTTGTTTCTTATTAATTGGCCAAAGTGGATGCGAAATTGGTCAAAGCGAACCAAACTTACATGTCATCTCATAGAGCATTCAAATCAAGATTTCAGTCAACCACTGCTTTCAATTAAGCTCCCCCTCCTCTCCCCCTTCCACATGCCCCCTCCTGCTCCCATAACCCTCCCCCACCCCCAAGCTCACACCATTCCTCAATGCATCTGGCATCGAGAACAACCAGTAGGAACCGGGGAACTGCACAACACCAAAAACTTCGGCCCAGTCACTCCAAAGCTCTGCATGCAGGCCGGCTGGGAGACAACCACTCAGAGGAATCTGTCTTTTTTACAGAGCACAAATGACTCACTGCGACAGTGCCTGTGGTTACTCTAGCCGTCTCTTTCCAAACCTGATTTGATTGGTCGTCTATGTGACTGGTGGTAGCGATAGGTTGCACCTGGTTGTTTTCACCTCTCTCTCTTTCTGAATCTCTCAGTCTCTTGAAACAAATCCTCTTTACCTCTCACTATTCTTGGACTGGTTGTCTTGTCTTCTAGTTTGAGGTTCTGCTCTTCAGCTCAAACTTCCCCCACCACCCTCTCCTCCTCCTCCTCATCCCCGCCTATGTGCAGCACTGCGCGGCACCCACCCCACCCTTCTTCCCCCCGTCCTTTACCTTCACCCCCCACTTATCCCTCCACTGCTCACTCCACCTCGACCCGGTATGGCTGGGCCGGACCGCTGGAGGTTCCTCACACACTATTTCCTGCTTGATCAAGGTCTTTCTGCATCAGGGATGGAGACAGAAACCACACACACTCCCAGTGTTGTGGCTTTGGGAGGAAAGTATTTGTTAAACTTCTGCTGGTGGTTTGAGGAGTCACAGAAACTGATCTGCTACCAGTTCCCTCTGATGGCAGTTTTTTTAAATTAGTACTATTGTTACCAATGTCTATACTGAAAAGATTAAAGCTGTTTTAATGCTTTTTTGGAGGATGCAGGCAGAAGCTTAGCAAATATGTCAGGCAGCCATTTCACAAAAATAGAAACATTTCTGCTATCATGTCATAGCACCACATACCGTAGAGCATACAGCAGGCCCTGGCTTCCTGTTGCCTTCCACTCCCACAGGAAGTGAAACTGGGAGGCAACAATGTGCCCAGTAAAACTGACTTCTGGGTGGGTGGTGGCCCATAGCTTGACTAGCTCTTCAGCGCTCAATAAAAGCATCTCTCAACCATAGGTAGAAAATGTGTTTCCTCTATCACTAAGTCCCAAAAATGACAAACCAAACTGGGGAGGCCTCTGACACCATTGACTTAATAAAAGAAATCTTCAAATTTGTTTTGTATTTATATCTCATTCATACTTGATATCCAGCAACTAAAAAGTGATGTCATGGCACATGAGCAGACATCAGCGTTTTTAGGCCTTGGATAGATTTTATGGATGCAGTTACATGTAAATTTAATAAGTTTTGTCAACATCATGTCATTTTTGGGGTTGGAAAGCATTTGTTTAAAAGAAGTTATTGCTGCTAGTAACATTGCCCTTTTGAATGAACTCATTGGCTGGGTTTATGGGGTAAGAGAGGTGAGGGCAGCCCAGTAATACCACAGAAACAAACTAAGGAATTTGACCCTGCTGTATCAGTTTTATTTTTATATATATTATATTTATTGTCATCAATTAAGGTACTTTTTATTTCAACTGAAAAATGAAAAATTTGAGGTCAAAGCAATAAATAAATGAGTAGGGGCGTATGAATGGAGAGATGACATAATGAAATATACAGATCAGCTTCAGTTTGGCACAATGTGCTTCCCAAAGTACAGCAATTATAGATCATTAAGGCAGCAATCCAGTTTGCCCCTTTCATGAGTTATGCATGATTGTTTTTAGAAATCTGTAAAAGTGATGGTCCTACCCTCTACAGTGATCTAAGGTAGGCAACACATCCAATAATAACCCTGACACCAACTACAACAGCTGAGTGAAGTACCATCAGTAATCCTTGAAGATGTGAAGGCAGCATTGAAAATGATTCCTACTACCACCATCACTGAAACCACTGAGATGAAATACACTTTAGCAGCAGTGATCCGTAAGATGCTTGTCTATAAGAGGATGAGCAACTGTCAGAGCTCCAGAAAGGCGCAATGAGAAAACTAGCACCCAAGATCTACAGCCAGATACCCATACCTGAAGCACTAGAAACTGCCAAACAAAGGCTCCAAGCCTTGGCCGGGAGAAAGTGAATGCAGACAAATAAGCCAGCTCTTCTGAAACCCAACCATCTAAAGTGAACTCTCAGTGGCAGGGTAGTAACAGCAGAGCAGACCCACCAAGGCTAGAGACTGAACAGAAGGGCATATGGGAAAAGGATTATTCACACAACAGCAATGCAAAGTGGCTAGTCGTTCTAAAAGAAAACTACAACGCCTGACACAACCTGTGCACGGCCTGGATTGATTACAAGAAAGCCTGTGACTCAATGCCGCATTCTTGGATCATTGAATACTTGAAGCTGTACAACATCAACAGGAGTCTGGGAGGAGAGCCTTCACTGAGGCTAATTGCAGAAGTCTCCATCAACTGAGGCATATACCAAGGAGACACCCTGTCCCCACTGTTGTTCTGCATGTCTGAACCCCCTCAGCCATATAATCAACAAGAATGGGTATGGACACAGGCTCAAGAATGGACCCACAAGCAGCCACCTCCTCTACATGGATGACATAAAGCTGTACACCAGGAGCGAGACATAGACTCACTGATCCACACCACCAGGATCTACAGCCCTAATATTGGAATGTCATTTGGACTTGAAAAGTGTGGTCAGATAGTGATAAAGAAAGGGAAGGTAGTCCACACAAAAGGGGTCTCACTCCCAGAAGAAACTATAGCAGATGTTGAGGACAGCTACAAGTAGCTTGGTATCCCACAAGCAAATGACAACCTTGATGAAGCCGCAAGGAAAGGAGCCACATCCAATACCTACAATGAGTAAGGCAAGTCCTCGCAAGTCAGCTTAATTGCAAGAACAAGATCAGGGCAAGAAACAGCTATGCCCTGCCAGTAATCAGATATCCTGCAGGAACAGTAAGCTGGCCAAAGGAAGACATACAGACCACAGATGTCAAGACACTGAAGCTCCTCACCATGCATGGAGCATTCCATCCCAAATCCAGCAGCCTGAGACTGTACAATAGCTGTAAGGAAGGAGGCCAAGGACTAGTGCAGTGTTTCTCAACTCCAGATCCTCAGGTCCCCCTGAGTTATTCAGGTGTGCTGATGCAGAGACATGGAAAACATGCAGGACAGGGGTTCCTAAGGACTGGAATTGAGAAACACTGAACTAGTGAGTGTGAGAGCCTCTGTCCAGGATGAAACATCCAAGATCCATAAGTACATCAAGGATAATGCTCCCAGAAGATGACATTAACGCTGGAAATACCATCATGAGAGGACACACCCCTACATGGGATGTACAGTACCACTGACAGATGACTGAAGAGGCTGATTTCAAGAAATCCTACCAATGGCTAGAAAGAGCTGGTCTGAAGGACAGCACAGATGCACTCATCATGGCTGCACAGGAACAGGCCCTGAACACCAGAGCAACAGAGGCTAAGATCTTCCACACCATTCAGAGAGGCCCCTGAGACAATCCAGCACATGACTGCAGGGTGTAAGATGCTGGCAGGGAAAACATGCATGGAACGCCACGACCAAGTGGCTGGCATCGTGTACAGGAACATCTGTGCAGAGTATGGACTGGAAGCCCCAAGGTCAAAGTGGGAAACACCCTCTAAGGTGGTCAAGAACGAACAAGCCAGGCTCCTGTGGGGCTTTTAGATCCAGACCGACAAAATGGTGATGGCAAACCAATCGGACATTGTGGTGGTGGACAAGCAACAGAGAACAGCCGTTGTGGTTGATGTAGCAATACTGAGAGATGGCAACTTCAGGAAAAAGGAACACGAGAAACTAAAGAAGTACCAGGGCCTCAAAGAAAAAGTTGAGAAAGCCTGGAGACTGAAGACATCGGTTGTACTTGTGGTCATTGGGGCACTCGGGGCAGTAACCCCCAAACTGGAGGAGTGGCTAAAGCAGATCTCAGGATAAACATCAGATACCTAAGTCCAGAAAAATACAGTTCCAGGAACAGCTAAGATTCTGCACAGAACCCTCAAGCTCCCAGGCCTCTGGTGGAGGACCCAAGCCTGGAAGCATGAGACCTCCTGTGGAGTGTGGGATGAGAATTTATTATACATACATGCATTTTACAAATAAACAGCATCTTGTGAGAATAATAATTGTAAAACAATGTGTTCTAGCTCCACTGGCTGGCATGTTCATGAACAAGAGGTGTTCCCAGGGATGTAGGGAGAGGTGCTTATGGTGCAATATCTTTTTCTGCCTCTAGATGGTACCCTCTGAGAAAAGAACTGGATTTCTGCTTTAAGGCTCTACTTTGCGCTATATTCATTTACTTGCTGCCATGTAGTCTGTGAACAGCACACTACTATACATAAATAGTATTAACTCTAAATGAGAATTTGAAACATTATATTTTTGCAGCGTTGCCAATATTGATGCTTTAATCACTATGTGGACTGTTATCATAACCTCTGAACCGCTGTTGTTCTTTAATGGGTCATTCTAAATGTAGATAATAAACATTGTGCTGTAGATGCTTCTTGGACAAAGCCAGAAAAAACAAATGCCTCTAAGACAAAAAATGTCAGAACTTCAGCCGTAATCCCTTTCGGCTCTATCTCTCTATCCACACATTTCTCTATTTATTTATGTATTGATTTGAGCGGATTCTGGAGATTGCCCAATGCCATGTAACACGCATGTGTAATAACTGCCGATGCACATTATGCATTTTTGAAAGCCATTTTCCCTCTTTCTGACAATGCTTTCCACACAGCATGGCCTTTCTTTATTTAAATTAGGCTCAGAAGTTTTTGAAAATGATAAAATTGTAGCTTAGATGAAGGAAAGAGTCCTTCTCTCAGCAGATGCACTGGCCTCACTGTGGACAATTAAACAACAATCTTTTTTGTGTCCTCTGCATTTCTTGTAAATTTTGCCATTTGGGACAATATTTGACCAGTGAGCCTTTTTTAAGCTCACTGCTGAGAGAATCCAGCTCCAGAGCTTCTCCCTGTCTGTTTGCAACGAGGAGGGAATATGGCTCCACAAAACAAGTCTGCCACAGAAATGCATGCTCAGCTGTCTGCCTGAGAGCTGCTGGTTGGCCTGCCTAACACTGGTAATGAGCGGTTCAAGATGTGCTGAGCTTATAAAACTACAAGAAGTCAGACTGAACCATTAGTCAGACATATATTTTAAAAAAGCATTGGAAACCATAAAGAATGATGTTAATTAACTTGTAGCTATAATAGAAGGAGTCACTAAGTTGGGGTGGTTAATGTTGACACTTCATAATGGTATGGCAAACGCTTCTTTTTTTTTTACTTTAGAATGGGCGACGCAAACATGTAAGATACTCCGAAAAGAGAAAGATTCTTGTGATTTATCCAAATTGAATAAACAAGCTTGTTTAGATTTGATCAGCGAATATTTTTTCTTGTTGGTTCAGTGTCAAAATAAAACTTTAAAATTATTATTTAAATTCAAATAAAAAAATGCATGTAACAGTAAGCAAACATAAAACCCACAATGCTTTCTTCAAGTTTTGTGATTATACAGGCCTTCAAATAAAAAAATGAAAACCTTTTATGTTTCATGTTAATTTGATTAAGAGTCAAGAGTCAGCATTTAGCATGTTGAGGAGTTCAAGCTCTTCATTTACTTTAGGATGACATTTTTAAATATTAACTGATAATATGTTAAAGTTTCAAGTGCAATGCCATAACAATATGTAGTGTCCCATCTCAGGAGTAAAGTGGAAAGCGTTGCATTGATGATTCTCAGACTGTTATTGTTTTTCTCTCCTGGTCTGGTTTAGGTGGTAGTCAACGCCCTGGTGGGTGCCATCCCTTCCATTATGAATGTGTTGCTGGTTTGCCTCATCTTTTGGCTGATTTTTAGTATCATGGGGGTCAACTTGTTTGCGGGGAAGTACTACTACTGTTACAACGAGACGTCAGAGGAGTACTTTCCTGTGGACGTGGTCAACAACAGGACTCAGTGTTTTGCGCTTATTAACGACAACAACACTGAGGTCAGGTGGAAGAACGTCAAGATCAACTTTGACAATGTGGGCGCCGGCTACCTTGCTTTGTTGCAAGTGGTGAGCGTCGTTCCTCCTCTCCTCTTCTAACTTCATTACTTGTTTCCTGCTAAATGTCAACTGTTTTCTCATTTTCTGCACTTTTTGTCACTTTTGTTTGTTTTACATAAAGGTTTGTTGTTTCTTTAAACTCCATTTGCTTTCACAGCACTATGACACAGCCTTTTTTCATTTACTGTGAATATAGGCGCACTTCTCCGTGTCCTTTTTCTTCACACATGTTCCTTTCCATGCACAAGCTGTACCACATGAATGCATCACTTTCGGTTTGAGTTTGAGTCTTTATTAATAATTGCATAAATTTTTTTTCATTTATTTTCTTTTTGGGGACTGTTTGATTATCTTGCAGAAATATGTGATTATAATAATATAATTTTTTTATTATAAAGGCCACATTCAAAGGATGGATGGACATTATGTACGCTGCTGTGGATTCCAGAGGGGTAAACTTACTATGTCTTCTTGAATGTTTGAAAATGCCTGATCGCTGTCACCTAGGCTTTCTGCTGAATTTAGCCAACCAAGTTATGTCAGCTGGTACCACAAAACCTTGTTGTTTAAATGTGAAGAGGAATATTGTTGTTATACATTTTTCTGTTAAAAGTAAATGTATATTACGGTTTACATTTTAGCAACTAAGTTTAGTGGAATTTGTTGACATGACTTGGTTAAGTAAATACTACGTTTTACAGCGTATGTTTAATGGAACCAGTTGACATACACTGGAAAAGTAAATTCAACATGTCTTTTGTTAAAGTGTACAGATGTTTTTAAGCGCCAGCAGCTGGACAATTTAGATTAGCATCAAAGTTGAACGAGGCATGAGCTGGATGCAGTTACCAGGCAACAAGGGAAGATGCAGACTTCCAAGAATTATTCTCGTTGTATTTAGTTTTTTCTAATAGACACAGCTGTAAACTGTAGATGATTTAGCTACTTTTAATCATCTTTATTCTGATGTACACTTTTTTCTGTTATGCTATAAGATAGCCATACACTGACAATTTGCTTTAAATTTAAATTAACTATGTTTCTCCAAAGGGTTCAAATGAAGGCAACTTCTTTGGTTTCTTGAAGATGTTTCGCTTCTCATTCAAAGAACTTTGCCAATAATAAATTTAATCAGTACAGCGATTCCCACACAATAGAGGCTAACAACTCCAGTGATTCCCCTGGGAGAAGGGTATTCACTAGTAGCATCTGCTCATTAAGCAACAATAGACAGCTACAGTTAACCTGACCATCCCATATTCCAGTCAAAATTGACAAAGCTTCTCAGATGAGAAGTGAAACATCTTCAAGAAACCAAAGAAGTCCAGTTGCCTTCATTCAAACCCCTTTGGATTACCATGACCTGGATGACTGAGAATCTTCATCAGTGTGTTAAATATGTTTCTTTGTTCTTCAAGGTGGAAGACCAGCCTGATTATGAGGTCAACATCTATATGTACATCTACTTTGTTGTCTTTATCATATTTGGGTCCTTCTTCACCCTCAACCTCTTCATTGGTGTGATCATTGACAACTTCAACCAGCAGAAGAAAAAGATAAGAGCAGCTCCATTTGTAACTCCTCACTCTCTCGTTTTAAAGATCTGAACGTGGTTATGACCAAAGTTTTGTTTATCCCTTTACTTTGGAGGTCAGGACATCTTCATGACAGAGGAACAGAAAAAATACTACAATGCAATGAAGAAACTAGGGTCCAAAAAGCCCCAAAAACCCATTCCGCGACCACAAGTGTGTATATTTTAGAATTGTTAGTGCATATGATCAGGTTTTATTTGGTCTGTTTCATTCTGTGTTTTTGTCTTGCAGAACAAGGTCCAGGGCTTGGTGTTTGATTTTGTGACACAGCAAGTCTTTGACATCTCCATCATGATACTAATTTGCCTCAACATGGTCACCATGATGGTGGAAACAGATGATCAGTCAGAACAAACAGAAAATGTTCTCTACTGGGTCAACTTCATCTTTATTGTAGTCTTCACCACAGAGTTCCTGCTGAAGCTCTTTGCTCTGCGCCACTATTACTTCACAAATGGTTGGAACATCTTTGATGTGGTGGTCGTCATCCTGTCAATTGTTGGTGAGTAAAAAAGGGAGAAGCTACTTAAAAAGCCCTTGAATTCAGTTTTATTTTGATTTTCTTCTCTTCTGCTCTTCTCCTTCCCTTCAGGCATGTTTCTGGCTGACCTCATTGAGAAGTACTTTGTGTCACCAACCTTGTTCAGGGTGATCAGGTTGGCTCGTATCGGCCGTATCCTTCGTCTCATCAAAGGAGCGAAGGGGATCCGAACCTTACTCTTTGCCCTGATGATGTCCTTGCCAGCTCTGTTCAATATTGGCCTGCTTCTCTTCTTGGTCATGTTCATTTTCTCCATCTTCGGCATGTCCAACTTCGGCTACGTGAAACACGCAGCAGGCATTGATGACTTGTATAACTTTGAAACTTTTGGAAACAGCATGATCATCCTGTTTATGATCACCACATCAGCTGGCTGGGATGGTTTATTACTGCCAATCCTCAACTACCCGCCGGACTGCGACCCACTTTTGGAAAATCCTGGTACATCAGTGAAGGGTGACTGTGGCAACCCCTCAGTAGGAATCTTCTTTTTTGTCATGTACATAATCATTTCTTTCCTGATCGTGGTTAACATGTACATTGCCATCATCCTGGAGAACTTCAGTGTGGCCACAGAGGAAAGCGCTGATCCGCTCAGCGAGGATGACTTTGAGACCTTCTATGAGATCTGGGAGAAGTTTGATCCAACTGCCTCGCAGTTCATCAGTTTTGCCAAGCTGCCTGACTTTGCTGACGCTTTGGAGCACCCACTTCGTGTGCCAAAGCCCAACACGATTGAACTAATTGCCATGGACATGCCCATGGTGAGCGGTGATCGCATTCACTGCTTGGACATCCTGTTTGCCTTTACAAAACGTGTGCTCGGTGACAGTGGTGAGTTGGACATGCTGAGGACGCAGATGGAGGAGCGTTTTGTGGCGGCCAATCCCTCCAAGGTGTCATACGAACCCATCACCACCACCCTCCGCCGCAAACAGGAGGACGTCTCTGCCAGAACCATCCAGAACGCCTACCGTGCTCACCTCATCAGGCGCGGCATCATTTTCAAGCGCCACATTTTGTCCAGTAATAAGCTTGAAAACGGTGGGACCAACCAAGACAAGAAGGACAGCACACCTTCCACTGCCTCTCTCCCTTCATACGACAGCGTGACCAAACCTGACAAAGAGAAGCAGGACAAAAACAAAGAGGAGTGGTCCAAGAAAGAGAAGGACAAAAACCAGAAAGATGAATGGGAATCAAAGTGTTAGGATCCAGTGACTCAAAAATCCAATAAAACACGACAAGATGATATGAGACTCTGAGCCCAGACACCCAACAAATGTAGAAATCATGAAGATAAAACAACAAAAACACACAAAACATGTTTACATACTCAAATACTGCTGAGGCAATGTGGTTTCCTACGTCGTCAAAGACAGCTGAACCAAACACAATCAGTTTACCGTGGAACTCTTGCTGCATAGCGACAAGTTCGTAGAGATGGGGAGTAAAAACAAATAAATAAATAATTATAATAAAAACAGAAAAAAAAACAGTAACTCAAAGTGTGCTGGCCAGTGGAACACATTTCCTATGGGGACCAACAGAAATCACTGCTAAAAGTATTGTGAAGAACCTGCTTCCACCACGAGTGGAATCCCGCTGCCAAGCTCCACAGCTACGGGACCGGATCACATCAATCCCTAAAGAACTGTAATACAGTCTAAATGTGGGTCTGTCATGTTGAGTTTGCCATCTCTTCAAGATGAAAACAATAATCAAACAAGAAGGTTTAGATGTGAGGAGGGAAACCCGACCATAAACAGATTATTTTTGTCCTGTTTGTGCAGATTAAACTCACATCTTTACATTATTTGAGCAGCAAAAAAAGGGTAAAATTTAGCTCATGACACTTATCTTTTCCTCCTCTCTTTGTAATACTGACATTCAAAAAGACATTTTTCTACACGGGCTGTCATGCTGAGCAGGTACGGGTCATTGGTCAGAGTTTTCACTTGGGCTGTAGGGAACTTGCTCTGTCAGAGTTCAAGATAAATAATAATTTTTGTGCTTGTTAAATGCATAGAAATGACTTGCATGAAGGCATGTTTTGATCAGGAGTCATGCATGAGTAATCATAGTCCACAAGACACAAATTCTCAGACCACTGCAGTGGCTTGACTATAGGTCTGAGGCTGTTCACTAGGAGAAATGGTTAAAGCAGATTTTAGATGATGGTTTAGAAAACATCTGGTAATAATAATTACAAGATCCTACCCTCACTGCCTAATTATATAAATATGAGCACTCAGTCGGATCAGCCAGCAATGCAACAGAAAAGTGTTATTTTGCTGCTTTGAATGTTGATAGCATAGAAGAAGCGTGGAGTGTGTGAGTATTAGAAATCAGAACATCCTCACGTTGAGGATGCTTAGATTTGGACGGCTGTGTTAGTAGTTCTGAACCAAATCTGAGGCTTAGATCTCTTTGTTTACTTACAGCCATCTAAACATTATGTTTCCTACTTGCCTCTGGTCCTGCAAAAAGAGCAGGTGATGTTTCACGCCAAGGAATCCACATCTGGAACCAGTAAGAACTCAACATGATCTGTAGGTATCCCACCTGCTGCAGAAGGGGCAGAAATATGGTTTAAAGTTTGGTGTGCTGTCTTTTTTTTTTTTTTGGACAAATGGAAGGACTTAAAACTGTGTTGAGGCAAAGACATTAGTATTTCCTAATTAAGAGTATGTTTTGGAGCTTTGGAAAAAAAGGCCTTTAAATCTTTTACTGATGTCCCAGTGATGCAATCATTCTAAAAAAAAAGGCTTGTGACCAGTGAGAGTGACACTGACTGTCTGATATGGCAGAGGTAGCAGAAAATGATCACAAAGACATTTGTCACGTTTAGAGTGTGTGGAAGGCGGTAGCTGTTGTTTGGACTGTAGAAATAAATGGATCCAGTTTGATTTGGGGGATGGGGGATGGGGGGTGGGGGGTGGGTGAATGGGTGGAAATAACAGCATAAATGTGGACCGATCTGAAGACCCTCCCTTCAGTGGTTCTGACCGACTGCCATGAGAACAAAAGAGAGGAAGAGAGGGTGATAGCGGTGCTTTGGTCTGAGTCAGAGTGCTGAAAGTCCCATGTCTGTCAGTGTATCATTGTGCTTCTGTGGGACCTCTTAAACACTGTGTCGTCTTGGACCCGGGCTGCACCATCTTTTCACAAGCTTGGCTTTTAAATGCCACCTTCTTAGACAGAGATGGAGGAGGAAGAGCTAGCAGTTGCTGAGAAAAATCAACAGACCTCACACATAAGCAGCTATGTTGTATAAGAAGCTTTGTGGGCGTTTTCCAGAGAAATACAAATTTAATTCAGGCTAAACAAGACACAACTGCCATTTCTTTTTTACACATGTGCGATGGTTCAATATCTGGGTGGATGACCAGATGCGAATCTGGCATCCACCTTCACACACTAACGCCCTTTGGTGTGTTTAACACTGCCGATTCTCCACCCCCCCACCCCGGTGTACAACAATAAATGAGGTCTGTTTACAATCTGAAGCAACTGCCCACTGAAACCAAAAACATTCCCAATGAGAACCACAGGAGGAGCGAGTAGTGTCATCTAACGTACTCATCTCATCATCTTGGATGTATTATTTTAGAGTTATACATTCACATTGATATAAATACAAAATTATTAAAAAAAAAACGAAAAAAAAAAAACATATATATGTACAGTGCAGGCTATGTTGTAAATGGCACAATCGCTGAAAAAGAAAGAACTTTTTGAGAGAAGATATAAATATTGTATTATATTGTTTTATTTTATTGGCATGCTTTGTTGTGTTTTTTTTTTGTAAATACAGAATTTTAAAAATGTTACTACTAATAATCAAAAGGTGAATAACAACAATATAGAATGGCTTCCAGCTATGCCCTTTGTCACATTTGTTACTTTTTGAATTTTTTGAGACACTTTTCACTTTGTTGACGAAGATTGAATGAACTATAGATATTATATAATACAAAAGATATATACATGTATACATATGTATATACATAAAGCAGAAGAACACTGTCACATTTGATTTTATGTGCAACACGTTCAGTGGATGTCTAACTGGTTGTTTCCAGCACTCTTCTATGTTGGGGAATAAGCTCAATTTAACTGGATGTAGCCTGATCATGACTAAGGAGGATGTTACCAGCACATTTCTCACCTATGTTATACCTACCACCATCACACACCTACAGTAACCAACACTGCAAGGTGACTCTTCACTGCCCGCCATTTGTACCGAAGAACGACTGAAAACACACACACACTCACATCAGTGCCATTACAGCTCAACACATGCTATCATGCTGTCATCCTCACTCTTCTTTTCTTCAACGGTATGTTTCTATTCTTCCACTCAATGGCATGTGCCTTTTTTTCTGCTTTTTCTGCAAATCTGGATGTCAATGCCACACTGAAGAAAAATAATAAAATAAAGATAATAAAGGAGGGTGGGGTTTATTTTTGGGGGGTGGGGTGGGGGGTGGGGTAGTACAAGAATAATCAAGGATGTGGGAATTTAGACGATCATTCAGACACCCCACTTCATCTAAATATTCAACGTGTGATGTTAACAGAAGAACAACTATCTCAACAAAAAAAAATGTCCTGTTCTTAGTGCTGTGTGTGTCACTCACTTGGCTTGTGAAAAAGCAGCTTGCCTTCTATATTTTAGTTTGATTTCTTCTACGTTTCTGTTTCCATCTGAAATTTATTTTTATATTATTAATCGCTAATAGGAGTTATTCTTTTCTAGCATGATTTATTATTAGCATTTTTTTGTTTGCTGAAAAAAAGTGCTTTTCAAACTGTTCTCATTCAACACCGTGACAAAAGAGGATATACAGTACATAATGATAGTGTGTTGCACAACCACTTGGACTCTTGGGTTAGAATAAATGAAAGATTGTCTTCATTTTGAGCACGAATCTTTTTATTACAAATAAAGCAGCCTTCCAGTTATGACTTGTGTGATGTTTGAATACTTCAGTCCTGATTTTATGTGTCAGTTTTTTTTCAAACTGATTTAATTTAAAGTAATTTGCTTGCATTCGCATTTTCTTTTTTTTTTTGCTTTAGTTTTATTTTTACTGTGATAATGTCCTTTTATTTTTCACAGAATTCAGACTTTGATTCCAGAATTCTGACTTTTATCACAGAATTAAGACTTCTTCTCATTATTCTGATTTAAATTTCAGAATTCAGTTTTTTTGCAGAATTCTGACTATAATCTAAGATTTCTGACTTTAGTCTCAGAATCTGAACAGGGTGTAAAAATCATGAATTTTAGGAAAACAGACAAAACCCTGTGAAGGTGTGACACAAGACCTAACATATGCTTTATTCCTCAGCTGACCATCAACTAAGTCAAGTTTTGAGTCAGTGGCTTTGAGAATTATCCATAATTCACGTGTCCAACTGTGCTTTCTTTAGCTTTCTTGCAGATTCACCTGAAGAAAAAGTGGTTTTGTGACAGCCTAAAGATCCCATTTAAAATAGTTGTCATGCCTGATTCAAAGGCCATATAGCTAAACAAAACACATGTTTAAAAGTGGTCACTGAAAGCAAAATAACAAAAGTCTAAAAGATCTCCAGAGAGCATGAAGAACCATTGAATGATGAGATTATTTTGAAAGAAAACAAAGTCTGGCTCCTTGAAGGTAAGATTAATTTGGAATGATTTGAAAATGTACACAGAGGCTTGCTGTCACTGTAAACAGAAAATAGTTTAAGTAGGTGGGATTTTATGGAATCCAGGATTTCTTAAGAGAGCAGACACACTGCATGGCACCTTGATTCTCTTTTTCTCCTCCATTTCCTTCTTTGTCCTATTAACCCTCCCTTCAAGCACGTGGACTTCTCCTCTACCCTCCATATCTCAGAGCTTAAAATATGATTTTAAAACTCTTCTTTTTTATGTTGTTATTTTTACTCAAACGTAGGCAAAAGGGAGTACCCTCAATGCTGTGTCAGATTGCAGTCATGTGAAGCAGAAAGGAGGAGGGGGGGGGTGTTCAGACGGGGAGGGTGAGGTATGGGAAGGGGACGGGGATGGGAGGTGGTTGGGCACTGCAGTGCAGATAAATGAAGGCAGCAGCAGTCGAGGCTGAGTCAGCAGCACACTCCCAGTTTTGCCGAGGGCTTCGAGTTTCTGCCCTTTGAAAAGGGCTCGGAGCGGCGGAGCTGTCCGTGGTGCTGAAGCTGGACTCAGACGGACCAGCATCCTGTGGCCGACTCTTGGCTCACTGAGTGGGGCTTCAGCGAACAAGGACAGGCGCTGAGGATGGGAGGCGAAAGCCAGTATAACAGGAGATCGGTGTGCGGGGGAAGTCGACCTAATTCCTACAGAGCCACACCTACACACTCCTCTATATCTCCCTCCGAAGTGTTCCACCACACGAGGAGGCTTCTTCACCTGGAAGAGGCTAAATATAAGAAGTCTCACACCTTCTAATTTTATACTTCTTATAATCTTCAAATTGTTTTCATGTAATAATGTAGTTTACAGGATCTTTTTATCCAATCGGAGCATGATTATGTCCCCCCTTCCCTCTTTCAAAGTAGTCCTGATGGAAAATTATCCTCACACAGATAATGTGAACAGCCACCGGTGAAGGGGGGTCTCCTGCTATAGATCCCACATCAACACTGAGATCAGACAGTTTCGTGTGTCTGTGTGTGTGCGCGAGCGCGTACGCGCACGCTTCACTGGTCTTCCCTCCTTTCCTTACACCCTCCTCCCCCGGTTTCTTCTTTCCCCCTGAGAATCAGACAGATGAAGAGGGGAAACGGTGTCTCCTCAAGCCAAGGACTTCTAAAATTAAATTCAATTAAATTCAAAAATACTTTATTAATCATAGAGGGGAAATTTATTGCTAAAACATTTACGACACACATTTATTTTTTTCCAGTAACATTCCCGATACCCAGACGTAGGATTGATGAAAACCCACACAGTCAAAAGGAGTTACAGCCTACAGTTTATCTCCGCTGACACGAAACCCATCATCATCCCCTCCTGTACCGAATATTCATATTACAAATTGCATAACCTTATTGTGCAATAGCCTGTTCTGTGTGCTATGCAGAGTGCGCACTGCTAAAGCAAACAAAGCTAAAAAATTCTCACCCAAAAATTTCCCTGATCATGCTCAACAGGACCTGGACGATTCATTCCAAACAACAGCACCCACATGTGGAGAGGAGCGTGTACGACACTTGATAGGAGGATAAGTGTGTATTACGTTAGCTGTTTGGGATTAGTAACTACTACTAATGATAATAATAATGATGATGATAATAATGATGATGAAGATGATGATAATTTTAATAATGATGATGATGTTATTATTGTCATTATTATAATAATGATAATAATAATGATGATGATGAAGATGATAATGATATTATTATTATTATTATTATTATTATTATTATTATTATTATTATTATTATTATTATTATTATTATTATTATTATTTTTATTAATTATACTAATAATAGTTATGATAATAATGGTGTTGATTACAATAATAATAATGATGTTGATGATGAAGATGAAAGCTAAAGAACAAAATGTCAAACTTGACTGAATAAACCTTGTAGGTTTATTGCAAGGAAGCTTATGTCTCTTAATTATTTTAGTGCATTTAATTTAGTAACAGTAGCACATTAGTTAAAGATGACTAGTCTGAAGTTAACATGCATTCTTTGTTTATTTGTATGTTAATTTGCATGTTGCTGAAAACTTCTGTCACATTAGGAAAATGTGTAATAAATCCTCATACAAGACTAATTTATATACATTTAATCTTCAGTTGAATCAGATTTTATTAGGCAAAGGGACAAAAATTACACAAACACATTTCTTTGTACAATGTTGATAAATGTGTGTTTTATTTACAAAAGAGCCTGTTGATTACTTTTGAGAAAATCATTTACAACATTTAAGAGTAGCTAATGTAAAATTGAATAACTAGTAAATAAATAATTACATTTGGTTTGAAAACACCTGAAAAAGAAAATAATTCATGTTTATGTTTCTAGATGACACAAAGTATTGTGCTATCATGGTCGACTTTCTGCCACAGCTTGCAGGAACTGATCATGGCATCTGTAAAAGACGTGTGTGTTTGGCATAAATGTTCCTTTGCAGCTCACCCCTCTCGTTTGATGCTGGACAGCCACTCCACAAAGTATTTGGCCTTGATTTTATCCAGATGGTTGGTGAAGTCGCTGGTGAATGTTCCATCTGAATGCCTTTTGAAGTTTTGAATGATGTGTTGTCCTTTTTCCATCCGAAATGACCGCCATCTGAAAAAAGATAGGCCTATGAATCAATCTTTATTTCTAAACAGTTTTATAATGATCTTCCTTGAACTTTAATAGCCAAAATTATGAAAAGTGTTTTTGCAAGGCAACACAGACGACAATCACACACACACACACACACACACACACACACACACACACACACACACACACACACACACACACACACACACACACACACACACACACACACACACACACACACACACACACACACTCACACCTAAGGACAATATAGACAGACCAGTTATCTTAACAGTCATGTTTTTGGACTGTGGAAGGAAGCCGGGGTACCCGGAGCGAACCCACGCGTGCACAGGGAGAACACGCAAACTGCCACCCCCAGGCTGGGAAGCAAATTCAGGACCTTCTTGCTACAAGGCAACAGCTCTGACCACTGTGCCACTGCACAGCCCTTTTACCAACAGTATTACAAATAAAATACCGTGATGGTCTGTTTTTCTCCACAATCATCTCCTTGGTGCCCGAACAGAGAAAAATGACCAGCAAACACCAGATGAGTAGCTTCATCCCCAGATAACCTATAAAAACAAGACATATATACAGTTTCACCATGTTTTAAAGGAAAAATGAAGTTTTTCTCTGCGTAATAAAACTCACCTAAAGGAAAGTTAAACGTCTCCAGCGAAGTGATGCAGAGTGTAACAGAGAAATCCCTTCACACTTCAAAACTGAGCCGTATAAAGGAAAAACAGGTTACTTCTGTCACTTTATAAAGACATCAGGTGTGACTGTGTGACACGCAGGTCCTTCTCCACAGCTGATGACCATCTCTCTCATTATGGTGGCTTTGATCTGATAGAGAGGTATTTAGACTCTGAAAAGGTCAAAGGTGACAGCTCCCTCACACGTATCCAGACAGCAGCAGGTGTGAAGAGATGTTGTTTGGCGCCAAGAGCATGACTCCTAAACTGTATTACTGACTTTTATCGTTGGACAACTTAGGTTTTAACCAGCCACAGTTCAGAAATCTTCACGGTCTTTGAGGGGCATAGAAAGAACTTGTCTGTAGAATATGAAACAAATTCATGTTTACAGCAGTAGCTCAGGAGGTAGAGTAGGCTGTCCAGTAATCGGAAGGTTGTGGGTTAGATCCCGGCTCTGACCAGAGACTGCTGCTGTTGTGTCCATCAGCAAAACACTTAACTCACCTTGCCTGCTGGTGGTAGTCGGAGGGACCGGTGGCACCAGTGCATGGCAGGCCTTGTGTCTGTCAATGTGCCCCTGAGCAGCTGTGGCAGCATTGTAGCTCATCCCCACTAGCGTGTGAATGGCTGTTTGAAGTGCCTTGGGGGGTTGTAGAGCCCTGGGTGCTATACAAATACAAACCATACCATTTTAGGTTTAAGGAAGATGTTGCCACATAAATAAGATATTGCCTAATCTGTGTAAAACAAATTAGTTATGGCTATTTTTATATTTGCAAGGAATAATTAGTAATATTGAATTGGGTTGGGTTTTAAATGCACATGCAATTAGGAATTCCTGCTTCCTGTGGTATGCAGTTTCTATCCGGGGATCCACGGATTTTCTTCTTTCCTATTCATTTTCTCTTCACTTTTCCTTGCATATTTTTAATCACATTTTTTTCTCTCATTTTAACCATATTTTGAAACAATTAAAATTTTTTTTCTTATATTTCACATTTTTTTGTTGTGAAGCACCTCGTAATTTTTATGGTAAATGGTAAATGGCCTGTATTTGATATAGCGCCTTCTAGAGTCCTGGAACCCCCCAAGGCGCTTTACAACACAATCAGTCATTCACCCATTCACACACACATTCACACTACAATGTAGCCACAGCTACCCTGGGGCGCACTGACAGAGGCGAGGCTGCCGAGCACTGGCGCCACCGGTCCCTCCGACCACCACCGGCAGGCAAGGTGGATTACCTGTCTTGCCCAAGGGCACAACGACAGCGACAGACTGAGCAGGGCTCGAACCTGCAACCTTCCGATTACGGGGCGAGCATTTAACTCATTTAACTCCTGTGCCACTGTCGCCCCAACTTTTATTATGAGAGGTGCTATGTAAAAGATAGTTTTCTTTCTTTCTTTCTTTCTTTCTTTCTTTCTTTCTTTCTTTCTTTCTTTCTTTCTTTCTTTCTTTCTTTCTGTCTTTCTTTCTTTCAGTTTAACGTAAATATTTAGGAGTTTTATCTATACATGTTAAATCTATTTGGCTCAAACAACAAATTGTTTCTCTAGAAATTTCAGGTGCTGGATTTAAATTGAAAGAGAAAAGCAGCCCAAGTGGGAAAAATTTTGAATTTTTATTTATTTATTTTAGAAAACCTGACGAGAACAGCAAGAAAGTCTTGATGCTTAAAGATGGGTGGCTTTTGCACAGCACTGGACCATTGCACCTGCACAAAGGTAAGTCCAAAAACTGTCACTGATATTTCAAGATGCATTTTTGCTCAATAAAATTAAATTAATCTAATTTATAACAATTTAACTATAAGAGAGAGGGAAAAAAAAGAGAGAAGACAAACAGAGGCAGGTGTGCTATAATTAGTGTTCTAGTTGCCTGACTCTGAGCTAAGCTAGCTGTAAAGCTACACCTCTGGTGTTTGTTTTCTAAGAGGACATTCCATTCTAGAGTCTGAAAAAACAACATTTAAACCTGTAATTCTGCTAAAACGTCAAATTATTTTACAGACTTTTGATAGTAACACACACGTGGCTAACAAGCCAGCTAGGCTAACTGCTGCTAATGGCAAAACTATCAGGTAAGTGCAGCTTTTTTTTAAACTTCAGATTCCTTAATATAAACATAGAATTTGCTGACTAATTGTTTTAATAAAAGTAAATATGAAAACACGTTTAAAATTTAACTCAGTAAAAAATTTGCCATGTTTTCTTTGGGCTTTTCACACGTCGAGTTTGTTTTAATGCTCATTTCTGCACAAACTGAAACTACAGCAGTGGGAAGTATCTACACAAAGTATTACATATATGTGTCATTTTATTTCTCTAAATTAAAGTAGGACAAACTAAGAAGGTCAGAATTAATGGCTTTTATTATTTTCTTCACATCTTGACTTTGACCAGCAGGGGTCAGGCTTTACCACATCATCAGGCGAAGCCTAGCTCTTACTCGTAACTAAAGAACCTCTTAGAAAAAAAAACACATTTTTTCCCTGTTTCATTCTCTTGTTGCATCACTGATGGCAAAATGTATATTTTGGATTTGAACACTTCAGCTGAAGGTTGAGTTTTAAATGAACAAAATGCATAAAAATTCATCTGAACTTAGTAAAAATAATACCTCAACTAACTAACAAAAGCCTTGCAAAGATAGATAAATCCAATTTCTGGTGGAATATTGGGATGGTGCACTTGATATTTATATGGAATGCGTTGGATCCTTGGAGAAATATACACACATCCCATTTACGGCTTTGGGTTTACCCGTGGGGTTATAGTCGCTCCAGTCTATACTCAATATATCATCACTAAGGAGGTAGGAGGCTCGAATCAGAGACTGTACATAAAGCTACGGAGAGGGTCACCCTCTCAGGGCTTGCAATGTTGTCCTCCCAGCTGCAGCTTGATAACTTGGTGCTGATTGATATATCAATATTATATTTAAGTATTCCCTCTCTCACGGACAAGAGCTTGGTGTCTTTGGTGAAGAAATAGTTTAAAACAAATTCTAGTGATCTTTTACACCAATCTTTCTATGTATTTTTAGACAGACTATGCAGCCTCTCTTGTAGATTATACATTTATTGTTTATAGGAATAAAAGAAAACAAGAAGGAAATGCTTAAAATTCACAGTGCATGTTTGGTTTGCTAAGAGGAGAAACTCCCACCCTTTTTGGACTTTGAGTGTGTGAAACAAAAAAAAAAAGGGGCTATCGCCTATAAACATCATGACTGAAGGGCCTTCACTTTATTTGGGTTCTTAATGACAGGCTATCAGATTCCTATCTCTCCTTTCCTGCCTTCTATCCCCTCTTGTGCTCCCTGCCATAGCCCGGAGGACTGTTTAGGAGAGCATCTGGAGGCAGGCTGTTGAATAGGTTTCATTCTTGCAGAACCGTGCGCTCCAGCAAGCGTGCTGGGGGCATGGATGCTTGACCACGCTCAGTAGAGGAGACAGAGCAGGAGGTGGGTGCAGGGAGAAAGGAAAAACAAAAGCTTACATTAGTAAGAGGTCTCTGCTGTTATTTTATTTTTTTAATCTCTTCCTGGACCTGGTATTCTTATTTTACTTAAGTCATCCTGCCTTCATGTGAGGATCTTAAATGATGCTGGCCTTTTCTCCGCTGCAGCACGAGGTGTGGTTAGAGCAGAAGTCAGCTTTGGTGATTTGTACAGCAGCTGAGGAAGAAGTCCCTTTTCTATTTTGGAGAAAGCTGTTGGACAACTGTGGACTGAAACCTCAGCTGCTCAGTTACTGCTCCGTTTCACACCCCTGTGTTGTTTCTCTAGGGGATGAAGGAAACGTCAACACTGTTTCAAACATCGACAGGAACACCAAGACATTTAGTCACTTCAACTTTTTATAGTTATACATAATAACATCTGATCTAATCTGAAGCCTCTGTCTTTATCTCTTACTGGTTTAGATTCTGGATCAATGTGTTTAAGGAGGCTCTGGCATGGCCCAGAGCTTAATCTGTAAAAGCTAATGGGATTGTAAATGTCTGGCGGAGAGAGGCGGTAGTAAAACGATGGCGCGGTGCTGTCAGAGCGTGTGAATGAGCATTGCTAGTGGACTCCATCCTGCTGCTCCTGCTGAAATGGTGCCAGGCGGAGAGCTTTGAGTTACTGTTTGTTTGCTGTCATTAGCTCCGTGGGTTTGCTACGCTGCTGCGATGACAGACCGAAACCTCACGATGACAACATAACTGCAGCGTGTTACAGCAGCCGGGGCGTGACCAGCTCCTCCGTTTCCCGTTCTGCTGATAGTACTTATCTCTGAAGGCAGAGAAGTGGGATAATGTTGCTGCTGCAGCTGTCAAAACACCCCTTTTCTCTGTCCGTTTAGCTGATGTATGCCTTAGAGTCGTGGAGCTTTAAGAGATATGTTGTACTTTATTGTAGTCTGATTTTGGGCCCCAAAACAAACTATCCAAAAAGCATTTTATATATTTTTACATCATAGAGAATGGCACATCATGTGAAACCCGGGTTTCGGTGCAAATGCCCTATATGTATCCCACTGTGATTTAGTTTGGGGAGCAGAAATGGCAGATTAGTCTCGAGTCCGCCCAAGTAGATTATCCACTCATCTCTAAATCTCATGCGTTGAGGGCTCCTCATAATTGCCGCTTGTGGTTTTGAGGGGCAGAGGTGCCCAGCTTACCCACAGTCACCCACGGCCCGACCCATTCATACAATGCCATCCGTGTCCTCATATTAAAAGTGCAGCCGACCCCTGGTTTTCCCCATGTGTGCCTCTTCTCATTGTATTCTGTCTGATTGATGTTGACTGAGGTCACCTAAGCCCGTGCAGGGGATCACAGCACAGTGTGCAGGGGGCTAAATGTTTACATGCATTAATTTGACTTTATTCAGAGGTCCGCTGGCCCAATCTGGGCTTGTTCAGCGACTGGGCTGGCTGAGCCATATGCTGT